TCTTCTCCCCCTCTGCTCTCATTAATCTTGAAGCCTGTCACAGACATACACATACAGCATGGCTGTATCCCAAATATGTTTATTCATCCCATTTGGCTTCTTCTGGAGGAAGAGATCCCACAGAATACTAGCAAAGTTTTCTAAGAAAATTTTCAGTATGAAAGACCCAGCAGAAATTAAAAATTTAATTTCCACTGTACCTTAAACTGTAATTAAAAAAAAAAAAATAATCCCCCAAACCAAACCAAAACTGAAGCAAACAAACCAACACAAGTTTTGGGGGTTTGTTTGTCTGTTTTTCATTTTCATGCAGGCAATAGTGATAGCTCTGTTTGAATCCTGGTGAAATACAGTGTAAAATTAGTATTTTTTTTTGTCAAGGATTTAAATTATACATGACAGCTCCTATTAAGAATAATGTAGTCATACATGGACTAGAGCACCTCCCATATGAAGATCGGCTGAGAAAGTTGAGACTGTTCAGCCTGGAGAAGAGAAGGCTGTGTGGAGACATCATAGCAGCCTTCCAGAATCTGAAGGGGGCCTATAGGGATGCTGGGGATGGACTCTTCATTAGGGACTGTAGTGATAGGACAAGGGGTAATGGGTTAAAACTTAAACAGGGGAAGTTTAGACTGGATATAAGGAGGAAATTCTTTCCAGTTAGGGTGGTGAGGCACTGGAATAGGTTCCCCAAGGAGGTTGTGAATGCTCCATCCCTGGCAGTGCTCAAGTCCTGATTGGACAAGGCCTTGGGTGATATGGTTTAAAGCAAGGTGTCCCTGCCCATGGCAGGGGGGTTGGAACTTGATGATCTTAAGGTCCTTTCCAACCATAACTATTCTATGATTCTATGACTTTTTACTATTCAGAGCAGCAATTAGAAACACATGGATCATGCTGCACCTACAGCTATCTAACTGGCTTTGTTTTGGTATTTCTGAAGATAAAAAACAGGGAGGAGTATTACTGTTATCCTGTGTGCTCATATGATGAGACTCCAGATTTTACTATCTTTCTGAACAGCTGCAGACACTCCCCCCTCCCACTGCAGCAACATCTCAAGGGAAAAATAAAACAAGATTCTGTTTCCCAGCTGCTTTGTCCCCAGAAATGGTCTCTAGTCAGCACTGGATGAGCAAGAAATTAACATTTTGATTGACTTGCGAGAAGTTTTCACAGCACTGAAGTATAAACTTAATTGGACTTTGGATCAGGCCCTGGTATGGTGTCATGGATGTACAGCTGGTTTTGTTCTCTGACACTATGAAAATGCTGAGCGAAGTTTCACTTGTTTTACATGGAATGTAGCTGTCCCAAGCAGCACCCCTGCTACACACAGCAGGACTGAAACTGTTTACTCTGTAACTCTTGCTGTTACAAAGAAACATTTCCAATCGTTTTGTTCTGCTTCTTGAAAGCAGAGGGGGCAGGATTTACTTAGATTCTTCTATAGCAGACATTCCCCAAATGAAAATAAACAGTATTTTCTGATACTGAGATTAGGTAACATAAAGTTAAAGTGTTTGTTCATTTCTTCTTTAGAAGAGTCGTGCTTGAATGCCTGATGTAACCCTCAGTGTACTGACAGATTTGCAGAATGTATTCACCATGATTCTTGTTCACTTTAAAATAGTGCATAAATAGAATTTATTTCATATATATATATATAAAAGAACATGTCTTTCAATAAATGGCTCATTTACTGGGAATTACAGTCTATGATAATTTTCCACAAACTTTTCCAGATTCTAGAAGTTTGTTTATTCAAATCAGTGTAAAAAAAAGTAAACCTACAAACCAAAATCAAATTGCCTTTCTGTTAAATGCTGTGTGTTGGAAGGCTTTTCTTTAAACATGTCTCAGTTGGTGAAATACCTTCCATGTTTAGCAGAGGCAAGCCTAAGTGTGATATAGCCTGTTGTGTCTAGAAGATGCAAGCATGCCAAATATATACAATTACTGTTGATTATAAAGGTATTAAATTGTAGCTGTGGAGGTATTTCAAAGCTGTGTTGAAGTATGTGTGATATATTTCAAAGATCAGCTCCAAGAGCTGCTAAGTGTTATCATAGTAAACTGAAATAAGATGAACATTTTTTGAGCCAAGTTGTTAGCTGCACTGGTAAACATCACATTCATTTGGTTTTCTGAGGTGGCGAAAACACTCCTGGTTCCTGTAGGCAGCAGCCTGGAAGCATGGGAATGTCAGTGCTCAGTCCTCGGTGGCTGCCTGGTGCCTCAGATCAGTGAGTGACCCCTCTGCCTGACTTAATAATGGCACTTACAGGCTATTCTATACAAAGGAAGTGTATCACATACATGTGCTGTATCAGGCCCAAGCTGCCAAGCGTGAAGAGGAATAATGTTGGCAGTTTCACAAGAGTCTGATATCAGCTGAGGCACTGTGTGAAGGCCGATTCTTCTCTTACTTTCTCTTTCAGACTACTAGAGGAAGACAAATTCAATCACACAGTTAGCAGGAGGAAATCTCAGTTGTAAGCAAATGGCAGAGAAATCTGATGGCACGGTTACTGAAGATTAACTTACTCCAATATGGAAGTCAATCTTGCCTTTTGAAACCACACAAAAGATTTATATTTTGATAATGAGATTTTAATAAATTCAACTGGTTTTTTTCTTTTTTTTTTTTTTTTGGTTAATGTGTATAGGAAATGCTACATCAATATTATTTTTTTAATTAGGTGGATGTAGCAACCTAAAAACACAGACTGGTGGAAAGTAAACATGGAATCAGGAAGACAAACATTTTGATTTTCACCAGTAATTATTACAAGACACTAATACTGCAATATTTGTTTTCATCTATTTTTTATGCTACTAGCCAACCTAGTCGGCTAAGTAAGCCCCATCGAATGTCAACCTATGTGGTAGGCTGGGAAGGTAAAATGCAGTAGTTTCAACAAAAAAACTTAAAGCTTGAGGCTTCTGAGGAGAAAAGAAGGCCTCCTTACCCATAGTTTGGATTTTAAATGCATTCTTTTGATCTAGGAGGTGAACTGAAACATATCCCACCCATAACACTTTGGGAGAGGGGAAGAAAAAAAAAGCTTTGCTTCAGGCACAGTAACTGCAAAATGAATACCGAGTGGGGTGGGGAGTGGGGGTGGGTGGGGAGGAAATAATGATCATGTATCTTTCTCTAATGAAATGTAAACTCAGTGATTTAAAACCCAGCACTAAATTAAATCCTGGGAGTAGACAGAATCAGAGTCAGCAGTAAACACCTCAGAGGGCTTAGTTTGTACAATAAAATCTCCCAAATTTTGTCTGCCTCTTGTACTGCCTGTAAATATAGATCCTTTCTTTCTAGTGCCAGCTGCAGTGTAAAACTACCTTGGGCTATAATCCTACTTTGTTGACAATTTTATGTTGCAGCAGGTGCTACAGAGTTGGAGGGTTTTTTTTTGTGGGTGTTTTTTTCCTTTTCCCCAGCTGTTGTCCCTCTTTTGAGCCAGCTTTGCTATTTTCCCAAAGGGCTGGAAAACAGCAAATTGTAATAACAGGCAGAGGAGGAAAAAGGAACAACAGATGACGGTTTGTGTCAATAAAGGCACCATGTGGGAAAAAGCCTATAGTTGTATGCACCCCTGTGACAGGAGTACTTGTTTTACCTTTTTGTTTGAGGGAGTGTCTCTTATTAGTGGAAATGTGCAAAAATGTTCTGCTAAACTAGCTGAACTGAGAATGAATGTCCATAAACTGTGAAGGGGCACCCAGATCCCACAGGGGCGATCTCAAGTCTGGTGGAAAACTACTGGGTTTCTGGAATCTCATAAGTGTTTCTTCTAGAAGGATCCTTACTGAAAGACTTTGGGGAAGTGTAAGTAGTAGGAAACCTTAGTGTTTTCCTGCTGACAAGCCGTCTCTCCAGGAATTTCTGTGAGGACAATTGGGTTTACACTTGAGATTTAGAACTCCTCAGCGTATTCCACTTCCTGGTTTCTACTTTCTGATGTACAGTTGCAATGCCCAGTGGTCCCTCACATAAATGGATCCCCAGAAGATGCAGCCAACACTGTAGCTTGTGAAGGGACAGTGCTTATTTAAAAGCTATAAATTAAAAGCTTGAGTGGGCTCAGTTCCACATTTATGAATGTGGCTTTTTCACTCCTTGCTGTTGCAGCACCAAACGATTCATGTTTTTCCTGAAAAATTAATGTTTAACTTCTAATTAAGGACACAAGATCTCACTTACAATAAACCCTTAGGAGCCAGACTGACATCAGATAAAGACTATTAAAATACCAACACTGAAACTCGGGTTGAGCATTCTGAATATTGCAACGAGAGTATTAATCTGCTGCACCTCAAAACGAGCACTCGGGCACTTGCAGGACTAGGAGTTTTCAAATTACAGCCTACAGACGAGGAAGAGTAAATGCACGCTAGGAAACGTTTGGCGCAGCAAAATCACTTTTCTCATAGGCAGTCTTTTCCCACCGAACGAGAACATCTCCCCCGGCCCGAGCAGGGGAGGTGAGCGAGATCAGGGGTGCAGACCCTGGGGGCGAAGGGGGCCCCCCTCTCCCTGCAGGGCAGCGGAGGGCGGCCCGGGCCGCAGAGACCCGCCGGGGCCCGACTCCCTTTGTCCTGAGCCGGGGAGCGGCAACAAAGGAAGGCGCCGCCGCGCGCGGGCCGCCTCAGCAGCACAGCGGGGTGGGCGGGGCCCGCCGCGCGCGCCGGCTGACAGTTTTGGGCGGTGGCTGGTTTTGAATTTAGTCTCCAGCCGGCGGCGGGACGCGGCGTGCGTCCCGCCTCGGATCGCGATTGGTCGGCAGCCAGACACGTGGGCGTGGGGCTGGGCGACAGCCGGCCATATTGGACCGCGGCGCGGAGCACGGCAATTCCGAGCGGCTACTGTTCGTGTTTGGCGGGAGGCGGTGGTAACTGGGTTGCTGTTCCCTCTCCTCCCAACCCTGACCTGCCGGTGTTGGCGTGCTTCTGCCACTGCTGTGGCGTCTCTCGCCGGGTCCCCCGTCTTCGCGCTGTTCTCGCCTCTCCGCCATGGCGTCCGTCACACCGCTGGGGTCTCGGAGCCTGGGCTCCGCGGCCTCCCTGCAGTTGAGTCCCACGCACCAATTACGGCTGCAGCAGAAGGAGGAGCTGCGGCAGCTGAACGACCGCTTGGCCGTCTACATCGACAAGGTGCGGAGCCTAGAGACGGAGAACAGCTCCCTGCAGCTGCAGGTCACGGAGCGGGAGGAGGTGCGCGGCCGCGAGGTCGCCAGCCTCAAGGCGGTCTACGAGACCGAGTTGGCCGACGCTCGTCAGACGCTGGACGACACGGCTCGGGAGCGGGCCAGGCTGCAGATCGAGCTGAGCAAGCTCCGCGCCGATTATGAGCAGCTCCTGGGCAGGTGAGAGAGGGTACGCGTGAAGGAACTACAGGGTAGCCGGCGGCCGGGCTGAGCGGTGCCCGCCGTAGTGGCCGTGCCCGCCCGCCCGTCTCGGCTTTGAATGAATGAGCGAGCGGCAGCGCTGCCCTGCTCCGCCCCGGCGAGAAGCCTTGGCCCGGCCCCCGGAGCTCCGCCCCTCGCCTGCCGGGCTCGCCCGCGGCCGTAAGGCTGGCGGTGCCTGTTGCTTGGCTGCGAGAGAGCCGCCGCCCGTGTGCCCCTCTACGGAGAGCAAGCTCTCTGTGTGAACCGGTGTTGGCGGCACCCTCGGAACTTAGCCCAGGTTCATTCTGGATTTGGGTCAGAATGATCCTTCACCACCGTTCTCCGTACAGATAGATGACCCTGTCCGTTAGGTTTAAGCTGCTTCAGGACGAAAAATGCGGAGTGATGACAGTTTGTATAGTGGTTGTCTTGGGTCTAGGCTTTCTAAAATGACCTTTCTGAAAGATGTTAATGTCATAATAAAAAAAAACGCGAGTAGATAACAAGTAGGAATTTTCTTAAACCAAAACGTAACTATAAATTTATTTCGCTGTATATTTAAATGTAAGAAAAGGTAAGCTTGTGACCAGATATTCTCAGGATTGCAAGCTTTGGTACAATGCCAGGATCTCTACTCTTGCAATGAACTGATTATGCTGCTGGATTTTGCTTCTTAGACTTTTGACTTGATTCGGTTGTTGATTTGCTTCCTTCCTTGTGTTTACCTTAAATTTGATTTCTGTGACTGCTGTAGCTTTTCATCAGCAAAAAAAAAAAAATAAAAATCTTCTGTTTGGGCTTTTTTTTGATTAGTGAAGCCCACCTGCCACTCTGATCTTAGTCTTGAGATCACAAAGGTTGTCAAAGGATTGATGTTGGAAAAAAAGAAAAGCAGAGCTGTTAATCTTCCTTTACTGTTGTATAACTTGTTAATTTTGGTTCTTCAATTAAACACACTCAGCCATCATTTTTCATAATGGAAAAAGATATGTGTGAACCAGCATAATTATGTTTTCATATGTCTGCAGACAGCTGCAATATAAACTCGGGCTCTTATTATTTAAAAAGAAAACCCCAACACAACTATGAGTTTCTAATTAATGAGTCTAGCTGTTCTTGTGGTTACTTCTTGGTGCCCCATGAAGGTCCTACATCAAAGAGATTATTGACAATGACAGGGAGTGTTTATGGTAAATGTAATTGTGGCAAGGAACTAGTTTTATGCATTTTTAATGTTGAAGAGATTATTTCCCTGGCTCTTTTGCTTTGTATTTTCAATTGGTCTTCCTTCAATACTCTTAAATTAATTTCTTCAGTGGGATTAGGCAATGAAAGAAACATCAGTAATAGTATGAGCCTATGGCTTGAATTACTGTGCAAGTGTGAGGCATTTTGCAGCTGGTACCCTGAGCAGAAGAACAGTCGTATCTTAATACAAGCAAAGTTGTAACAGCTGTTGCAGGGTTTCCTGTGGTGCGTATTTGGTGTGCTATAAGAGCTGGAGGAGCTGTTTTGAAGAAGCAGACTTGAAATGTTTCAAAGCATGTATTCGTGGTGATTTTAAGAAGGTGAAGATTGCTGGCAAGAGAACTGCTGAGCTTTAATCTGAAACCTGACAGTCTTCTAATGTGCATTGTAAGAGAGCACCCAGAGAAATAAGGAGGAGACTGATGTTCTTCCTGGTAAAAATTACTAGGTGTAAGGGTGATATACATGTTGTATACATTTAAAGTTTGGTTTTTCTAATTCACAGAGGCATTTCTGATCTTGTTTCACTTCCCGTATTCCTTTAGGGTTAGGATGATACTGCTGAATTGAGATTTCATCTGGCTGTCAGCGTTTGAAGTGTTGAGCTCCAGTTTCTGTTTCTTTCTGAGAATGAGAGAGCTCATCCAAACACATAGTTAAGCACTATTACCTGTTAGTGTTATGATTTGTTTAATTTTAATCCCTCTTCCCCTCTCCCCTTCTGTGACTTCACTTACATTAAATGTAGGATGGCTTCACAGTTGTCTTGTTGCAAACAAGCCAGAAGGGTACTTTGATCTGATGAAATTTGTAATACCAAATTTAGTGGTACAAGCAGTGTATTGGGTTTTAATCATATTGTTGTTTGTCCATATTATACATCTTTTTCTGTCCTGCCCCAATTGCAAGAGCTCTTTTTCAGCTGTCTACCAGTTTGTAATTGGTAGAGATATTTGAATTTAAAAAAAAAAAAAAAAGTTACTTGGGAAGTCTTCCTGTTTTGAAGTCCAAGATAAGCCGGTAATTTAGGGTGGTGTGTGGAGCAGCACACTGCAGCCTGTGTGTGGTGGAGCAGCACACTGCAGCCTTTCTGGGTTTAGGATCCAGCTTGGTTTCAGCATGAAGTCTTGTGAGAAAGCAGTGTCTCCATGTTTTGAATAAAGTTTTATCCAGGAGTGATCAAATGACAAAGGCCTGACGTGAGCCTTCATACGTCCCTACTAGGTAATGGAGATTTTATTACAGATGTACCACAGCAAGACGCATTTCCTTCCCTCTTTTTTATCCTCTGCTGCACTGCTTCCTGGTATGGTGAAGTTCACACAGGCCTGGGTGGGAGGGGAGAGACAGGGCAGAGATCTTCAGTGAATAATTCTTAAGAGCTAGAACTAGGAGTCCACATGATCAAAACCTAAATTCTGTGCTTTTGCCCTATCTGTGGACCTAACTGCTCTGAACTGTTGGGTCTAAGCAGGGGTATGTAAAATGCTATGGAGGGACTGGGTAGTGTTGAGCAGCAGAAATGAAAATAGTAGTTGAGGGTAGAAGAGTATTTGTGTGTGTCTAGGCTCTTGGCAGCCTACCCGTTAAGTGTGGCGTTCACTCATCAGGAGCCGGATTAGCTGGAGTGAGTCTGTTATGTAAAGCCTGCCATCTTCTGGCTGTAGTGGTGAAACGTTACTTTTATGTCTACAGGTGTTTTTTTGTAAATCTCTCAGGATGATGTTAATTACATATGTTGCATGTATCTTTTAAATTTGAGAGTCTTTCCTTTTAAAATTGCGTGTTTATTTTTAGTATTAGTCTCATTTCACTGAGAAGCATTCCTATTGTTTCTTATAGGCAATAGACTGATTAAAAATAATGAATGTATTAATGCTTTGACAGTTTTGAATCTTGTTCTTGAGAATCTTCATCCAATTTTCAGTCTTCTCAGTTTAGTGTTGTGAATTCTGGAGGGTTTTTTTTGTTGTGGGTTGTTTTTTTTTTTTACTTCTGCAAAAAAATGTAAAAACTGAACAATGTGCTAGCTGTGGTCTTACTGAGCCTGAATCTGTCCTTTCCATAAAATCAATTATAAACATCTAGAACTGATGTATGCTACTGCCCTTAGCAGGGAAATGTGATTATCCCAGAGCGAAAAAGAATTGGCTTCAAGGTGGAAGGACTTGTGTTACACATTTAAACATAACTGCTTGTGCCATCTAAAAGTCAACAGTATTTTGATTACTGAGTATTGTTTTCCTTTTTCCATTTTTATTAGTAGCCTGTCATAGAATTATTTGTGAGTAATTAATTAATTTAGGCTGAAGAGTGTGGTTTTGTGTTGCATAACTGACTGATTTGTTTGCATGTGCTGTTCTAGGGAATAAACCTCTAGACACTGACTGCTTATGTAGGAATGAAGAATAATTTGAGTATTTTGAAAATCTTGTATGTTAGCTTTTGTAAAGTAGGACACCCGTATCTCTGCACTAGTGCAGTTTCAGCAGTTCAGCATACTGCTGTATAGGCAGGATTTGGGTATCTTTCCTCAGAGCCATGTAACTTTGCCACTATGCATGATTAGAAAGCAGTTTTCAATGATACAGCTTCTGCTTATGAAGGAAGCATCCCCCATCGGTTCGGTAATCTGCCATTGAGCGTCCTTGTCCCATGTTGTTGATCGACAAGGTATTTTGATTCCCAAGAATAGGGTTTGCCTTTGAATGACATGACATGTTTAGATTCCCATCTGTATAGGATACCATTGTCAAACAGCTTTTGTAAATATTGCTTCACTATATTTTGATGCTGTATAGTATTCTCTGGGTACTTATTTTTAATGCCCATATTTTTCGGGAAATAGGAAATGCCCTTGGGCCAGAATTTGGCTGGTAACAAATATTTCCAATATCTTGAAGGAATTTCTTCCCTTATATCTTCAGACACATTAGTTTGTGATACGTCTGGAATTTTCCAATCAGGCTTAAAATCACATCCTGCTACCTGACATAATCCTGCTAAAGTACCCAATTTGTGAAGCCCATTTCTACGACCTCCTACTAGAGGGGTCACCGATTAGGAAAAGTAGTATTTGGCCGAATGTAACAGACCTCTTCTCGATCCTCCCAAGGGGAGGTATCGGTTGCACAGTTTCTGCTGAGTCTGATATAGGAGACGTGTTTAAAACAGGCTCGCCTAGATCGCTCCAAACACCTTTTTTCGGAACTATGTGCTGAGTACTTGCCTGCTTTGTTGAGACAGAACGGGAGAGCACTCGTTGTTCCTCGGATCGAGCGGCTTGAATTCGCAATGCCTGTTCGTGACGGAATTGCTCTTTGATCCGTCTGTCGTCTTCTGGTCTCCAAGTAGGCTGCTCCGGTGGATGTGGGTCTGGATTGGATAAGCCTAAGAATCTCGCCGCCCCTTCCGGCCAAAGTCCTTGTTTTGTCATTGAATTCATTCCCTCCATAGCGTCTATGTGTGCCATGACTTCCTCTATAGTTTTGGGGTCCGTATTGGGGGAGACTTTTACAGGTGTTGGTAACATCATGCTGCTAATGCGATGAAGAATCATTTCTCCCCCATCGGTTCGATAATCTGCCATTGAGCGTCCTTGTCTCATGTTGTTGATCGACAAGGTATTTTGATTCCCAAGAATATGGTATGCCTTTGAATGACATGACACGTTTAGATTCCCATCTGTATAGGATACCATTGTCAAACAGCTTTTGTAAATATTGCTTCACTATATTTTGATGCTGTATAGTATTCTCTGGGCACTTATTTTTAATGCCCATATTTTTTGGGAAATAGGAAATGCCCTTGGGCCAGAATTTGGCTGGTAACAAATATTTCCAATTTCTCAAAGGAATTTCTTCCCTTATATCTTCAGACACATTAGTTTGTGATATGTCTGGAATTTTCCAATCAGGATTAAAATCACATCCTGCTACCTGACATAATCCTGCTAAAGTACCCAATTTGTGAAGCCCATTTCTACGACCTCCTACTAGAGGGGGATCCTCATCTAGACAACCTAACAGGTGGGATAGGGGAGCCCGCACGTTGATTTTCTCCTCCGCTCCTTGAAGGAGACCTTCTATGTTTTGATTTTGACCTTCGTCTTCCATAAGTAACTGTTGTTTTAACTTTTCTTCTTCTAGGCTCAAGTCCGTGAGGCTTTCTAGTTCCTTGAGAACTAGTTGCGCCTTGCTTAACCACTCTGATTGGTCTAGTGATTGCTCCAATGGTTGGGGCATCATGACCTCTATATCTTTCAGGGGTCGACAACCAAGTACAGAGTCGAGAAACGTAATCAGTGACGTTCGGTTCACCCCAAATCAAACAATTACTATGCCACCACAAAAGACGCCTTGCAGTGTCAAGTGATTGTTCTTGGAGTTTTTTATATACCATCAAATGAGTGTATACTCTGCCTGCTACAGGATAATTTGGATCTTTATGTCTTATTAATTCTTCCTGATGATTAAACAACCCATCCAAAGGAATTTCTTCTAATTCAGAATGAGTTGTATAATCAGTCTCAGGAATGGCAGGAGCATCAGCAGGAATAAGATTTTTCAAAGCTTCTGCCACATCATGCATTCCTTTTGTAGTTGCCCAAAAATCCTCAGTAAGATCTAAAAAATGAGTAGCCAACACAACATGCTTTTTAAGTGAATTTTCTTAAATATATGTCTCTAAAGCATCTTTTGTATCTCTAATTAAGTCTTCAATTGATGGAAAGAAATCATCAGGCAAATCATATACATTTGACAAAGCTCTTTGCGCATTGATATCCATACAGTCAATAGAATCATAAACAGAGGTACATACCAAAGGTACAGCAAGTAGCAACAGCAAGTAGATCGTAAGAATACCTTGGCGAGCAGCTCCGTAAGGAGAGGTGTGTAATCTCTTTGGAATTTTTATATACCATCAAATGAGTGTATACTCTGCTATATATGGCTCTAAAGCACCTTTTGTATCTCGAATTAAATCTTCAATTGATGGAAAGAAATCATCAGGCAAATCGTATACATTTGACAAAGCTCTTTGTGCATTGATATCCGTACAGTCAATAGAATCACAAACAGAGGTACATACCAAAGGTACAGCAAGTAGCAACAGCAAGTAGATCGTAAGAATACGTTGGCGAGCAGCTCCGTAAGGAGAGGTGTGTAATTGACTGCATGGATATCAATTTCATGGAACATAAAATCTTCATTGAGAAGTTGGTTTGTTAATTAGAAATAGGCTATTTGCACAAGTTCTTGAGTGGATAAAAAGCTATGAAGTTAATTTACTTCTTTCCACCCTATGGAAAGAGCCTTCTGATGGGAGAGCTTATTTCTTCCTACTAATATACTGTTGAAGGTAGGCCATTTTAACGGTGGCTAGCTAAAGAGAAAACAAGAGAAGCCTTTAATAAATAGTTTCCCCTTTCTGTGTATGTGTCTCAGACTTGTTTGACACTCTTGAATTTCCTCTATATTTAGATTTCTACAGCCAAGTGAAATGCTAAGCTAGTACTTCTCAGATGAGAAAGCAGAAAGGAGTTGATTTTAATTAGGTAAATTAAGCCAAGACAAAGTGTTTTTGTGGTGTGTCTCAATAAGATTCAGATTACACCTTGTTTTATTACTTAGTAGTCTACTTTGGGGGCATTTCTAGACTTTCTTACCACTTTCTGTGATTTATTGCAGCTATGAAAAAAAAGAAACAGACCTCGATGGAGCTCAAATAAAAATCAGAGAACTTGAAGCAGCCCTCAATTCTAAAGAAGCTGCACTGGCCACAGCACTTGGTGATAAGAGAAGCCTGGAGGAAGAAAATGACGATTTAAGAGATCAAATTGTACAGGTGAGAGGAAATATTTAACTACTGAGCTTCTTTCAGCAAATGGGGTACTTTTAAGTATAAAAATCTATAGTGAGAGCTGACATTTTGGCAAAATGAAGCCTTGTAGCCAAACAATGGATGCCAGCCTTCCATCTAGTCACAACTAGAACAAACTGGTTTACTGTCAACATCGGAGGCAGTAGTGAGTAGGTGTCTTGTGTCCAGTACTGTTCAGCTTATTACAATATGAATGGCGGAGTAGACTGCTTTTAAAATTTTGACTCTGAAATTGCAAGAGATGTTACTTGTGAGGAAAGAAACAGCTCAAGAGTCAAAATAAGCCTGTCAAATTGCGGAACTGTTTTGGAGGAGAGACTGACTTCACAATGCAGATGCAAAAAACTGGCAAATAAGCTCTCTGCCCTCGTTTTTGTTCTGCTTGTGATTCCCAATGTTCTGAGCATCTAATAAAACAAAGAGGGGGAAGTCTTGTGCAAATTTTGTTAACCCTTTGACACAAATAATTTGATCTTAAAGTAACACTACCTCAAGAAGATGAGTTGAGCAGATCAGGAAACTGGTATTTGCCATGTAGAAAACCTGAAGTTTTGTATGGAAAGTTGTTAAGTAGCATTTTAATGCTACATACCAGTGTGAAATATCTAGAATTCACTTGTAGAAGTGATTGCAAGGGTAGAAAAGACAGATTTGGTTGTCAAATTCAACCATAACATGGTTAGGTGTACTGCTAGGTAGCTGAGGTCATTGTGTTATGTGAGTGCTGCTACATAATCATTGTTGTGTTGATTCTTCTATTTTTCTTAAAGCTTGAAGCTTCTTCAGCTGCTGTCAAGGAACAGCTTGCAAATGAAACCTTACAGAATGTTGATCTTGAAAACCGTTGTCAGAGTCTCATTGAGGACTTGGAATTCCGTAAAAATATGTATGAGGAGGTAAATGCTTTAGTCTCAAGAATTCACATCTTTAAAGGAAAGAAGACAACTGGGGGGATCATTCTTACAATACTGAAATAGTTTAATTTGAGAGGTCTGAACTCTAACTCAGAGCAGAGTTTGCCTCTATTATAGCTGGAAGATTTCCAGATAGTTTTTTCGGAGCCTTTGTCATAAAATAGCTTCATATGTCATGTTTCACATTAAGTTCTGCCCATGGTGCACATCATCTCATAGCAATGAGAAAGTAGGTCAATTTTCTTGCATAATCCCTTTATGAGAAATAAAGTGGAGAGGGACACTCAAGCAGATGCTATTTTTCCTGGTTTTTAATTTTGAAACTTTCTAGTTGAATGCTTTTGAACAATGGAAACAGAAATTGATGAATTTGTCTTCTAGATTTGTCTTCTAGAGCTTCTTGACTCCCTTTCACTTGCAGTTATTGAACGCTTTCCAGAAGGAACCTCAGAGCAGTAACAAATGTACTTAGCCACACTGTCCTTTGTTCTGTATGTGGTTTTGTGATTTTCTTTGCAAGGTTCATCTTCAGCTTTGTTCATGGTGTTGGAATCTTCTTCCAGAGACCACAGGCAAGCATACAAATTAATGAGGAAAATACTGATTAGTGCAAGTAACTGTTTAATTTCACATTACTTTAATTTTGTACAGGCATAGAAGAGACCTGAAGAAAGGGAGGATGTCTTTCTAAAATCTAACCTATTGAGGTGTATTTGTTGAAAATACAGACAGCTCTCAGGAATGTGACTTTACATGCTGATGGTATTCTAGCTCTTATTTCAATTATTGGCTATTGCAAAGTCAAGTACCTTGGCAGATCAGAGTGGACAAATGGCTCTGTGTTGCTACTGAAAGTTTCAATGTAAAGCAAACTGATGCTGATCCACAAGGCTAGCTGAAATCTGTATGACTATCCACTCAGCAGATAGTCTTCTAAAATTTTTGTCTCATATTCAATGAATGTAATTTTTCTGTTTTTCTTAGGAACTCAATGAAACAAAAAGGAAACATGAGACTCGTTTAGTTGAGGTGGATTCTGGGTGTCAAATTGAATATGAACATAAACTGGCTCAAGCCCTTAGTGAAATAAGAATGGAGCACGATGCACAAGTGAAGCTGTACAAAGAAGAGCTTGAACAGACTTACTATGCCAAAGTGAGAACATGTTTTCATGCAGTTGTCTGATGTACATTTTGTTTTATTTGATGAAAAGATATGCATTTCAGAGGAGTTTATTATGGAGTTTGGTTTAAAATTACCATGCATTTGAATGTGAACTTGCATTTTCTGGTATCATTTGAGTAAGAAGCCCTGTATGAAGGCAAATTGTGCGGAAAAGGTGCTTGGTACAGGGATTGCTGTGAATTCAAAGGAAACTTGTGTGTTGTTACATATCAACTGTAACATAGCCTTGATGATCAATTAAGATGTCCTATATTTTTTTAATGAAACTTATTTCATAATAGGGCTTACTGAGAAGACAGCTTCCTGAGTCCCTGTACATAATGTGTGGAAGCTTTATCACACCCAGTGATACCTGCTTTCACTGTTATAGAGAGGAAGCATACTCAGGCTGAGTTGTACTTCGTAATTTCCTTCCTCTAATATGATTCAGCACTTCTGTCAGGAGGGATCCTGATGTCTCAACTGAAACTGGTTTCTGTGGCTATACTTTTTGCAGTTGGTATGTTTTAGAGCAAGGTGGGATGTTACAGCAGAAAAGTTGATACAAGCTGAATTTAGTATCATAGTTCTGTCTTTTTAGTTCTAGTGTCTTAACAGAGTGTGGATGCTTGTCTTTGGGGCTTACACCTGACTTGGAAAATCTTAAGTAAAATAGGGCCAAAAGTTTTTCAATTTATATATTAGTCTAATAGTCCTTTCATAGTTGAAGCTTTCTTGTTCCCTCTCTTCAGTATGATGATATTACTGTGAAGCAGTAGTGACTTACGACACTGGAATTGTAATCTGAAGGCACATTGCCAATTTGCTTAGGTTGTCTGAAAATTAACATAAGTTTGTTTTTAGAGAATTAGTAATTTAATTACAGTAAATAAACATACAATGCTAAACACTGGACAACATGAAAACTGAACTTCACAGTCCAACTTCAGTGATGTCTTCAAGGGAAAATGTACATTTTTAATCCTAGAATAAAAATTCAGAGGATTGTGATTTCAAATGTGGCAATCCAGCATGGTAATTGAGCCATCATACCTAAACCCTAAAAAAAAAAACTGTTTCACTGTGTTAGAACCGTAGAGAGGAACTTTGTGGCTTAGTGTTTCATGTGGTTTTTAGTGACTCATTCTTGTAATAGAAGTTACTTTGAAACTGATGCTTTAACTTGCTCCACTACAGCTTGAGAATGCTAAACTGTCCTCTGAAATGAGCAGTTCTGCAACCAGTTTGATAAGAGAAGAACTGAATGAAAGTCACATACGAATTGATACTCTGACTTCCCATCTCACCAGCCTTCAGAAAGAGGTAACAAGCTGTTTGTGACTCTTCAGTCTTGTCTATTACAGATGTTGATTTCTGTATTAAAGGACTTTCCCTTAACTTGTAAGTATGTTCAGCATCACGATTTTCATTTGTCTTCTACTGTTCTGTACTTCTTCAAATTTCTTAATGTCTCCTTTTGACAAAACTGATTTTTTTTGTGTGCAGTATCCTGCTACAGAATGAGTACTTGAAAGGTGGTACTTTTAAGTGACTTTTGCAATACGTGTGACAATTTTAGGCAATAGCTCTATGTTCAAAGCTTTTGACATTACATGTAATTTAGTTCTTTTCCGTAGTAACTTGGGCAGTCTAGCATAGAATTCCACAAAGCAACATTCAAGCCAGAACTGGAATATGCAGTCTCTCTCTGTTTACCTCTTTTCATCCTAGATTCAGTTTGCATCTAGAAGTCTTACAAAAAAAAAGTGAACTTGCTGATTTTTGAAAGGGGTTAAAAACTTACAAAATGAGCAATTATGATGGTCTGTTTTGAGACTACAGCAATGGGAGCACAGGAGCTGGAAGTCCTTAGAAATAGAATGCTGTAAGTACTTCAAGCATAGCTATTGCTTAAGCAGGAGCTGCAACAGGGTGTAAAGTTAGGCAAGATCTTAGTGGTAGATGATGGGATGAAAGTATAACCTTTAGTTACCTTAGATAATTATGATACTGAAAAACACACCTCTAGGAGGAGATTTCATACGTAAATATAAGACCAGCTTGGTATAATGACCTGGGTAAAAATTGAGACATGCGTGTTTTACATTTTGTTATGTAAAATGTGGGTAACTGATAATTTATTTTTATGTGGTTCCTTCCTTGTCAGAATCTTGTATAAAAGGATTTTGTATAAAAAATACCTGTTTCTTAGAAGGTACGCTGGTTGCACAGAATTGTAATAGGGGCAAATGTCGCAACTCAGTGTATTGATCGGCTTTTGCACACTGAACCCTGCTTTAGGGACAACAGTTTTGAAACCCCAGATTGCACTTCAATAAAGCCTGCCCAGATTGTCTTGCCATCCCAATAGCAGAGGAGTGGGTTGAACAGGACTCCAGTTCATACCAACCAGTTGATCGGGGCTTTGCTGACTCCCCTCGGGTGTCAGGGCAGTAAGCATCTCAAAGGTGCAATGCCCAAGAGATATTTGTATCAAGGGTGAAAGGGGGAGAACTTAGGTTGGCGAGTACTACTTTTGTGTTTTCTTTATTTCTGTCCACAGAAGATTGATTTTTTTTTTTGCACTTAGATGTTTGGTACCAAGGGAAAAAAGTGTACCTTTCCTGATTAAAAATTCAGAGCTGAGTGGGAGATTGAGGTATTGGTTCTATTGGATCATTACCAGGATTAAGGTGAAGTGAGACTGCAAATGTATCAAATAACTATACTTGAATATTTGTAGAGCACAGAATTTTGAGCAGAAACTAAATAGACTTAATCAGATCACAGAGCATATAGATCACACCCAAAGAAGTGTGATGCAACCTATGACAAATTGTATGTTCAGTGCTAGGTTATTTGATGGGAGTAACATCAGGTGTACTGCAGTGGCTTTCTGATTTTCATAGAATGACTTTGATTGGAAAAGACCTTTAAGAACAAGTCCGACCATTAAGTGTTAGGAGTTGGTTCTGCAATGGGGTTTTGTAATTTACTAATCGGTTGAAACTGCAACAAAACATTTTCTTGAAAAGTATAAGATACTAGTAATATTTAGCTTTGATTATTTCTGTGATAAGGTTTGAATTGTATTACTCCTGTACAATAGACTCTTAGGTCTTCAAAGTTCCGTGTATTTAAAGAGAAGAATATAAATTCAGGGGATATTATCTCATAATTATCAAAATAACTTGGCAGATACAAGTATGAGTCTTCCAAGTTTTCCCATTATATAGTCAAGTTAGTCTGTGCAAAAGATAGGCGATGAATGCACATGAGGTTACACAAGAGTTGGAGTGAGACTTTTGTCTACTTAAATCTTAATTCTGCTTTTAGATTACCATCACCTTTCTTTTGGGGGCTCAGTAATAGGCATTTCTGATGTTGGTGGGTTTTTTTTCTTTCTCAGTGTAGCAATTACCTGTGTTCTGTTGCTTATTTGTGACTGACAGCTAGGTTCAGAAAACTTGCTTCTGAATTTGCAGAGGTGTTGGTTGTTAACTTCAGGATTACCAAAACCAACTTCTGCCATTTTGTCTGTAGTTGGCCACCAAAAACTATTTTGTTGCTGTGAGTTTGGTTTTTTTGTGTAGGGCTTTTTTTTTTGTGACTTTTTGTTTGGTGTGGTTTTTGTCTGTGTGTGTCTTGTAATGTTTTTTTTTTTTGTTGTTGTGTGGTGGTGGTTTGGTTGCTTTTTGTTTGTTTTTTTCCTTTTTTTGTAGTGAAGTCAACCAGTAAAGGTTTCTTTTCTCTTTGCTAGCTTTAAGTTTAGCTTTGTTCTCTTGGAAGAAGACAACTCAGTTAGCAGATTTGAGTTACCAGCACTGAACTCTGTAGCAGTTTTCACTAGAATCTTCCATCTGACACTCGAGTCCTTTTGTTGAATTTCTTATGAGTCTAACATTGACAACCAGACACTGGGTCTCTGTGTCAGACTTTGAGTGCAGGTTTTTATTGTCCATATATAGAATTATAACGCTTTAATAGCTGTGATTTCCTATGTAGAGTGCCTGCCACAGAAAATATATGGACTCAGAGATCAACATGATCAGACAAAAGCTGTTTATTGCAAAGCCTTAACCCCTTATATACTATTTCTTACATGCACTTACAGTGATTTGGCATATTATGATTGGATACATGTCTTATAGACCCTTAGTGACTAATATATAACTGGTTAAGCATAGGTGTGAGAACTTGACCTGGAAAGCTTTCCAACAGTCCACAGTTCTTATAACTCGGTGAATTCCAGCTTCTTCTTATCTTGCTTGCTTAAGCTTCCTCGGGCCGCTCATGACCTTGCTGTATCTTTCAGGATTATTCAGAGTTTATGTATCAATTATCCATTTTCCTGTGAGAACACTGTCTCTACAACTGCCTGCACAGCAAACTCAGTGACTTAACCAAACAGTGTGGTTCCTTTGTTTGTCTTTTAATAAAAAAAATAAATCTCAAAGTCTATCAAACAGAATAAAGCATGCTTTTAAGAAATGTCATCATTTGGCCTTTCTTTGATAAGCATTCTATTTTGTATGTATGATATTAAGTTCTACTGACTTGATGTGGTTTTTAAAATCTCATTCTTCATGGAACATGGAAAGCCTGTCTCTTTCAGGCAGACAGGCTTTCACTGGCAACAATCCTTATTCCTTTAGAGAAGCTTCCTCCCAGAATCTGGAATTGGAAGCAGTAAACTGAAGCAGGAAGTAGACATCTTGAAGGTAAAGAGCAATTACTTACTGCAGGGTCTGAAGTACAGTGAGCTGTGCTTTGATTCTGTTACCTGTCCAGCACATTTCAAAATGGTTTGACTCTTCAGCTCAATTTTTCTCAACTTGAGTAAATTCGGGCATAGTAATGTGTCTTCAGATCTCAGGAAAATGGAGCATGTGGTTGTCTTTCAAAGTGTGCTGGAAGTTTGACTCAAACTTAGGTGTTGTGTTTAGTAGATAAGTTGGAGAACATGAATTTGAAAATACGTGAGTTTGAATTCAGAAATGGGGAAGGATGCTTAACCTAATGTTTTATTTTCATGTTACCTGAACAGCAGACTGCATGGAGGTTTGGGGGGGCTTTCCTTTGCATCACTGGTGTTTTTGATGTTTTCTAGGCTAGAGCATGGCAAGATAGAGTGCAAGAACTTGAGGACAGCTTGGCCAAGGAACGGGAAAACTGTCACAGATTACTGTCTGAGAAAGAGAGAGAAATGGCAGAGTTAAGAAGTAAGGTGCAGGAGCAGCTGGACGACTATGAACAACTTCTGGATGTTAAACTGGCGCTTGATATGGAGATCAGTGCATACCGGAAATTGCTTGAGGGCGAAGAGGAGAGGTATGAAAGGATGTAGCAACAAATGCGGTATAAGTGCTTTCCTTGCTTGTTCCATTCTCTGTTAAAAGGTAGTTCTTACTGGTAATGTATTTATTAGGAGCTTTACTGTAGGCTCCAAGGCACTGTTTGGTTTTGTACCATCCTTCTGATGCTTCTAAATAAGTCTCCATGAGACCAGGCTGCTCGAATACTGGACCGATAGCTCTCAAGGGAACAAATACCATTCTTTTACTATTTTTTTTATTAAGCACTGAGGATATAATGAATTATCATTTTTATGAAATAATTTTTAGGTCTGTTTGGTGCCATGGTTAATATTATTTTTCAGAGTTATTTACAGGTCTACTTAGTTGTTCGTCAAATCTCTTTTAGAATAGTTTTAGTAAAGTTTTAATAGCTGTTTGATTGCCCAGCTTATCAGCTAGTTGCATTTTCCACATCTGACCCCAGAGTTCAGCCATACTGAAAATTTTTGCCTGATAAGTCACAGCTGTCACTCTAAAGCATTTTGACCATTTTCTGAATGGCATCCTACTGATCCAGGCTGATGTCCCTCAAGTCTGAGGATGAAAAAGTTTTGCCACGTTTTTTTGCATAAACTTTCTACAATGGCTTAAATCCCCCTAAGAGTGTTTTCTGAACTTGTTCCATCTACCCAGGAATGCAGTCCTTTAACTGATGGATAGAGGTGCCTTTATGATCTTAATGTAGTAGGCTTTCAGAATTCTATGCTCCAAAAGTATTAATAAGCTGTTTGACAAACTGTCATTCAATTCTCCAAAACATACCCAAGGCTTCACTTTTTTGTGTAACACACTTTGTTTACTATGTTCCTGTAGCTTTTTGCTCTGTAATTCTGTGGAAAGAAGAGAAGAGAGGGAAGCTTATAAAAAATAAAAAGTAGAAAAAAATAAAACCAAAATGTGATGTGTATTTCTTCTTCAACAGATTGCAACTTTCTGCAGGCCCATCTTCCCGAGTGACTGTTTCACGTGCTTCATCAAGCCGTAGTGTGCGTACAACCAGAGGGAAGAGGAAGAGGATAGATGTGGAAGAATCTGAAGCCAGCAGTAGTGTTAGCATTTCCCACTCAGCTTCTGCCACTGGAAATGTCTCTATTGAGGAGATAGACATTGATGGAAAGTTCATCCGCTTGAAGAACAACTCTAGACAGGTTTGAAAATGCATACATATACAATGGGCTGATCAGAGGTAGAAGGCATCCTTGGCACCCTTTCAGCTTTTAGGCTTTGTGTGGACTGTAGAAAAAAAAAAAAAAGCGTGCTGTATAAGAGAAGGCACTGAAACTAGTGTGTCACAAAATAAGCTTTCATACAGTATTCCTGATTGACAATGACTATTTCCTACTTAATTTTAAAGCTTTCCATAGCACCTACCAAGTGTTACATCACTCTTCAGAATTCTGCCTTGCAAGTGATCTGCCTGTAAAGTATTACAGGTAACATTATCACTGATAAGAAATAGTGCAAGCAGACATCAGGTTGTCTTTTAAGAACTTTCTCTGCCTTAAAAAGCCTCAGAAGAAATACATACTGTAATTAATTGCCTCTGCCCCTTGTACTTGCATATAGCTTCTCTAAATTATAGTGTTCCTTCTTCCTTAGCTACATCCACACATTTAAGACTGACAGGCACATTTTGTTTTCTAAGAAGCTTGCTTTCATTCTGTACTTAAAGTATTATATATTTGTAAGGGGATTTTAATAGTTATATATTGTTCTGGACTAAGCAGTAACAAAACCAATGCAAATTATAAATATATAATGTGTTCATGTAACATCAGAACTGAAAAGCAGGTTGCATTAAGCTTTAGGAAGACAAACCTAACATTATTCTAATTGGCATGTTGAAGATCAAGTGATAAGTTTTTGTTGAAAATTTTATTTGCCTCATAGCCTTACGTAAGAAACCCTACATGTGTAACAGAAAATGACTGCTGATGGAAATCTTTTTCTCCTTTTTATTAGGATCAACCTATGGGAGGTTGGGAGCTGATCCGAAAAATAGGAGACAGTTCTGCTATTTACAGATATACTTCAAGATATGTACTAAAGGCAGGCCAGACTGTTACAGTAAGTTGCTAAGCTTCACCTGTTCAGTTGAAATGGACTTCAGGCCGAATTGTGTATGTCAGTAAGATGCAAGGTTTTCAGTTTCGTACTTTCTGTGTACATGTTCAGAAAATAATCACCTGGTTGTATTGGGCATTACTTGTGTCCCTCATTGGGAAAAAGTTTGACAGAGCTACATTTTTCAAAAACTTCCTCTATGAAGTAATCATTTTGACCATAAAGAGGTGCACTTCCATATTCTTTTTTTTTTTTAATAACAGGATAAGATTCACTAATGTCACTTAAATAGACTACATTAATTTGTTAAATAACATGGAAATACGTAAGACTAGTAAATAATACTCAAGTGTGACTTCTTTTAACAGATCTGGGCTGCAAATGCTGGAGTAACTGCTAGCCCTCCCACTGACCTCATCTGGAAGAACCAGAATTCTTGGGGCACTGGTGAAAATGTGAAAGTTGTACTGAAAAATTCTCAGGGAGAGGTAAAGTACCTAAGCTGTGTTTGAACTTGTCTTTGTGCAGTGCCATCCTTTATAAAGATGAAGGTAGAACCATTTTTAGGACTTTATGCATGGATGCACATGAGTGTTTGCTAAAGTTTTCTCTTTTTGCTTTACATCCAATCATACTGTATCCCTGCCTGTCTTTACTGCAATTTAGGAATGCAGTCTACTGAAGTGTGTGAGATTTTTTTTCCTTGTATTCAGTATAAGTAGTAGAATGACTTGTTCAGACACTGACTTCATACCAGGAACTGGGCAGTGCCTTGGAATACACTTTGAAAAGAAAAGGTTTTGGTAATCTCTGTAATGCTTTGTCTCTTAAATTAGTTTTCCTTAAAACTGTATTTATGGGTTGTGGAAAACACTACAGTGAAACTCACTTTAATCACTGAGGCATTAATTCTGGTAAGGTGAGAGTTAAAACTTTGGGTAGGGCAGTTGCTATGACATCTTGCAATTAAAATAAAATATTTAAATACGTTAAAAAAAACCACCCAAATTTTGAAAGAACTTTGAGTTTTGTGTTAGACTTTTAAATCAGTAAGGTATTTAAAACTAAGTTGTTATAAATGCTGTTTATGCACAGCAGTACCTAAGAAGTATATAGACAAAATCATTACAAGGAGCTTTCCCAACAGCTGGAATTCCCATTGTTCAAAATATATTAGCACCAAATATTTAGAAGAATCCAGTCTTCAAAATAAAACTCTGTTGCAGGAGGTTGCTCAGAGAAGCACTGTCTTTAAAACAACTGTACATGAAGAGGAAGAGGAGGAAGCTGAGGAAGAAGCAGCTGAAGCTATGGAGAAGCAAAGCCTTTATTACCAGCAGGTATGTTGTTTCAGGTTAACAAAGTTATGCATCTGTTTTTTTTCAACCTAAAATCATGAATTTTCTGGAAAATATCATACTTGTTAAGGTGTGGATGTTCTTTTGTTTTGAATTTGTTTTATCAGTAATTTGACAAAAGCATGAAGCTGTGTTACTAAAACCAGTATAAAAATACTACTTCACACATTCCCTTGATGGATAAGTGAATTTTTCTTTAAAAGAGCTTTTAAAGCTTAAAGATTTCAGGATTTCCCCCCCCTGCTTTTTTCCTGATAAACTTCCCCAGGGCAGTTGTTTTGGTAAAGTCTGGCTTGAGCAGGAACATCTAAATTTATCTACAGTTTTGAGACTGAAATATCTCATTTTCTGTGATAGAGGAAATGAGATACTGAAGACACTATCAGAAAAAAATCTCTTGCATCCTGAAGAAATGCAGTGGTGAGTGGAAAGGTGTGAAATTGCAGTGACCACAAAATATTCTAGTAAGGGAAAATACTGAAACACAACATACTTTATTGTTCATGTTCTGGGTTTTATCTATTATCAGACTTATTTTGACTAGTCCTTCTAAAAAGGAAAAAAAAAATGTAACAAGCATAAGTTCCTGTAATGTAAGGTTCAGGTTTGCTGCTTTGCTTAAAACTTGGCCACATTTCAGTTAGTACATATCTTAAAGTCAGTTAGAAAAGATAATATATAACAGTAATTAAGTGTGCATATGTAGACAGACAAAAATTAGAGTTGGCTGTGTTGGAAATCATATTTTTTGACAGTTGTAGGTTTTGGCCTATAACTGAATCATAATTTTTAATAGAGTCAGGTTTTTATTGCAGTTATGCAAAAGTACTGAAGTGCAGCCTTCTGATCTTCTGGTTTCTGGGATTGTGTAGTTCAGCTAAACTGTGTGTCTCAGTAGCTATACTTATAAAAATGTTATAGAGATTAGCTTTCTTTAGATTAAAACTCACAAGGTACAACACAAGGTACAATACAAGGTGTTCCCTGCAGTTTTCACCACCTGTCTAAACTCACTGATGCTTCTTGACCTGAGATTCAAATAACATAATTTAAGCTGTGTTTTTTCTGGTACATGTCATCTGTTACCTCTTACAGGAAAATATAGATATTTATAATTCTTTTACATACAGGGTACAACAGATGTAGATTTTTTAAACTGTGCCAGGCTAATAATTTCATAGATTAAAAATGGTTATTGTTTTGCTCAATTTTCTCCTGCTGGATTTTTTGGTTTTTTTTTTTCAAAGATGACTCTTTCTATTCATAACAGGCAAGCTCGAAGGCGTCTAACAGAAGCTGTGTGATCATGTAAACTTCTAGCCAGCGAGATTCCTCAAATTACGGTATACATTATCTGCAGAACAGAGCCTGCTCATAAGCACAACATATTTTTGTATTTTCTGTATGTGAAGTTTTACGCTGCGAGTCTGATGGCCTTAATTTTCTTTGTCAATGAAAAGGAAGTTTTGTAAAAGAAATACCTGCAAGTTTGTCACAGGATGTGAATTGTTGACTCTGAACAATGTACTGTCTGAAAAGTGATGTCCCTATCACCCAGATTTATATGCCAGTCCTTTTTTCTTGAAACCTTACTGGAATAGAAATATTCCACTGTTTTGGGGATCGATTTTTTAGATTATACCACTGTAGACTAGTCAGTTGCTGTTGATCTCTTTATTGTTAGGTGCTGTTGGGGAAGGGGATATTGTGATACTATGAATCCTTTTATACTAGAGACTTTTTTTCCCTACAATGCAAGTAAGGCTATAAAACTTTTTCTACAGAAAAAAAAAGCTTTGTTTTAACAAACAAAAAAACCAAACCCAAACAAAACAAACAAAAAACATGCAAAACAAATGAAAGCAAATGAAAGAAAACATACAGAAAAAAACATAGCCCAGGTGGTCATGAATGCACTCAGAGGATGCAGTGAAACTCCTTATAGGTACTCTTTTCCTTTATTTAGGTTTTATTCTGGAAGAGGGTTCATGTTGAATGTGTTAGATGTGTTGTTAAGATACTGTAACCAGTTTCTCAAACTTTTTTTAGCAAGCAGAGAACCTTTTTCATATGGGTTGTCTTGCTTATAATTTGTATGAACAAAAGTAAGGCTTTTAGGGTTCTAGTCTACATTTGTATGGAAACCCATTTTGATTTTGTCAATGTAGAAAGTTTTTATGTCTCTCCTGCATTAATCTGTTGTCTGAAAAAGTTTTGAATAAAGTATTTCTCTTAAAATTGTCAAGTAAAGCTTGGGAATTTTTTTCTTCCTAGAACTGAGCTAAAAGTTTAATGAGGGATGAATACTTACAACAGACAGGCTTTGAAGCTGGTTAAAACGTCCATGTAAATGTAACATTGGCAATTGATGGGTTTTTTTGTTGTTTCCGCCCTCCCCTCCCCCCCCGAATAATGGGTAACAACTTCATGTCTGGGAAATTCCTTATTCAAGCTCTGTTGAGTAACTGTTTCCGCATTGTCTTTGCTTGTCTTAATTCTTACTGAGCTGACTTTTAACTCATATGAGTACCAGGCTGACCAGTTTAAGCACGGCACAGTAACATAAATAGAAATTTAGAAATACTGTAAATAGTTATCATTATCTTAGTCTGGAAGTAGTTTTAAGTGCATGGCTAGAATTTTAAAAGTTGACTTGAGCTTTTTCCTTGTATTAGTATCATGATGAATTTAAGATCTTTTTCAGTTTTTTTAGCATGTCTTCCATCTTGGAAAAGTTCCTTTTTCTGGTGAATTACGTGGTGGCATTTAAACTTTGTGCCAGCAGAAGGTGAGGGGGGAATGGCCAAGTGTTACGCAGACAGATGAGGGGAACTACTTCTTTTGACAGTAGTGATGGTTTAAAGAACTGCATTAAACCCCAGTGTAGTACTTGATTTAATTCCCTGTTTATATTTGAATATTCACATAGTATAAATATTTTCATGTCTTTTAAGCATCACTCTGTACCTGTAATATTCGGAATACTCTTCAGTTTGATCTCTAGGAATAATGGCTTTCTGTCTGTTGAAGATTTAGGTATCTGTAGGCATATACCATATAAATGAACAATACGTTGTAGGAAATGGTTAATGGGTACCTAATTCTTAATTCATAATACGAATCTGCCAATGTAATCAAGCATTTTTGGTTACAGCATTTATAGAACCTACCTGTCACCAGGGTGATGAACAGTGCTGTGACTCCTAGCTGAACGTGTAGTTAGAAGCTGCTACTTGAAACTGATTTTCTCCATAATGAGAGCTTTTACATGAATGTTCAGGTAAATCGGCAGTCTTCTGATGGATGAAAATAGGAGAAATCATGATTTTAGGAAAACATTAGTTTTGCTGTTGCAAGTGTTTCTGTAAACTAGAAATAAAGAGGGTTGGGAAACCCTTGACTCTTCTGAGGTGAGCGTGTGTGTGTTACCTTTGGAGTAAAATATTCTACCACCAGGTGGTGAGCTTGCTATTCAAATATAAAAGCAAAAACAGGCACCAGCCCAGAACTTCCTATACTTCCCTGCAAGTTCCATAGTAACTTTGGAAAGTTACTGGTTTCTTAAACAGAACAGTTTCTGTTATCCTGCCTCTTCCCAAACTGAAGTCCAGAAGTGCATTTTGATTACTGCAGGGTGGGCCTTTCATTGCTGTGCTGAAACGAAAGTGTCAAGCTTGTAGAAGGGTATGTACTATCTTCTGTCACACACTCTCTGCGAGTTCTTGTCCCTGCTGGTTTGGAGCTGCGTTCTAAATACACCACCTTGGCTGCTCTGGTTATTGGCATAATTACACCAGTTTAGGTGAGAGAAATCACACTAATGGATTTGGTAAAGGTACCTAACCACTGAAAAATGAACCAATTGGCTACAATGCTATGTGTAATTTGTTCATTTTTTCTGGAGGTTGTTAGATACTGAGTCAGAGAAGCAAACAATATCCTAGCTAGCTCAATTGATGTGTTCAACTTGTGATTAAAATTTTGGTAGGTCTTTTTATTACCTGCTCTTAAAGTAATATGTAAAGATTATTTTTAGGTACGTACAATCCTTTCTAGAGTTGGCAATGGATATGGATGGTCATTATCTGACAGTGATGTTACACAGTTGACAAGAGGTACAAATCGTATTACACTGGCAGGTGAAAACTGTTCAGTAATTTTGACTTGCAGCTGCAAAAAGAGTTTACCAGAAATGTATCTGCTCAAATACATTTATTTCCTGAAAACCAGAGTAAGAATCTGCTTAGAAAACAAGCAGTTTGACTTGCACAGTACTAGTATGATGGAACACTCCTGAGACAAGGAATGCATTCCCGTTTCTCAGGAAGTTTGATTTTTGGGTCTGTTCATAGCAAAAGCAGCAAAGCTGTGAAGTCCACACTGTTTATAGTGGACAAGTTTATTAATAATCCCCAGTATAATCACTGTAGCTTTATGGTACGAATTATTTTACACAGTGTAGTCAATTGTAGCCCTGTGCTACAAATTGTCTCGTGCCTTTGACTTCTTTATCTCTGCTGCATCACGTTTGCCCAGGCAGACAGCAAAATACAGGAAGAGAAATGAATGTGTAAGTAATGTAGATACTTTGGTGTTCAACAGATGTTAATTATTCATTTGCCTGCTTAGGTAAAGGATGCAATCTAAAATGCTGGTCTCACATTTTCATAGAGAAATGCAACTCTCTTGAGTATACAATTTTTATACTAATGCAAATGTTTTATGGGGAAACTCCAAATCTGAGAGACTGTGCTTTTTATATTCATACTGTCCTGTAAGCAGAATAGGTACTTCTAGTAGGAAAAAAAAGGCGGAAAAATTCTGCTGCTTTTGCAGAAATGGCAATGTGTAATTTGACTATGTAGCATTTTTCTCCAGGCAAAGAAAATAAGCAGTTGATGGGAAATAAAACTTCTAAAGCTGTTGTCCCAGATAGGACAACTAGGACTAATGGGTGATTTTTTTTTTTTTTTAATAAAGAGAATGGAGGCTATGTATGATGGATGTGAATGCATATTTAGCCATTCCTGATATATGACAGTTAACCTCAAGGAAGCACTGGAACACTTACTAGATCCATCATAGGATTATAACAAAAATAGACTTTTATCTCAGGTTTTGCTTAGTGTGCATTAATTGCTTCGAGTCCTCTGCTCCTGTCCTCTGGTTTCCTTTTACAGGTTTGCATAAATACAGGATGTGTCTGATTAACCCCAATGAAATAAAGAGTTGCATGTGGTGACATCAGTAAAGGCATGTTTCAGCTTAAACTGATTATTTGATAGGATTTTTGTACGGTTACAAATTAAATCCCGGAAGTGAAATTTCATAGCTGGTTTGGCTGTTGCATTTTGTGAACGGAGAAGATTATAGGCAAGCAGGTATAACCTTCTCCATAGTGTAAGTCATGGAATGAAACTAATGTTGGTTTTCTCTGCAGTGGCAGCATTTGGTTTCTGAAAGTAGTGTGTTTTGTTGGTTGCAATGGGATGTTGTTGTTGTTAAAAAGTTTTACTGGGAAGGTATTTTCTACACTTATGACAGAGTTAAAGAAAAAATCACAATCAGCTCTATACCCTCTCAACATCAAAGGTGGGGGGAAATGTTTCGTAACATTGCCGCAATGAAGTGTAAGAAGCTGTCAGCAAAAAAATCTTAAATGAAAGCAGTCACAAGTACTGACAAACTTGGCAGCTGTTGAGAGATGCAACTCTTAAATTTTTGAGAAAGCTTTTTGTGTGGCAGTGCATGCAGAAATTAAATTTGAGATGTGGAATAACAGTATTAGTGTGGTGTCATCATCAGTAATATTCTATATACCCATACTGTAGGCTTGCTCGTTTTATGGGCCTTCTATGTATTTATAAAGCTGGGGGACTCTGTTGTACATTTTGTGTTGTCTAATAGTTTTTAAAGATAACTTTTGAATACCCGAAAGGTAAAGAGGCCATACTGAATTCTGCTTGCAAGGCACATGTTTGTTTAATTAGCCAGCTGTGTGTTAAATAGAGGTTGGTCTCATAAAAAATAACAGATGAAGAGCTTCATTTTTAACAGTTACTTTATTTAAACTTACCTTAATTTGAAAGGAAGTGCTTTTGGGCTTTCTCAGTACCCGTTTCTCCCAGTAGCTCTTTATTTCTCTTCCTGGTGGTGCCCATCACATCAAAGGCCTCTTGCATATATTGGCCCTGGTTCTCTTTATGTATTGAGTTCATACATTGCCCTGTGTGACTTCACACTGTGAAACTGATGAAAAGTTATTTTTAATAGATGAAATGTAAGTGACAGTTTGAAGTCTAAGTCTGGGAGAATTATACAGTTGAGTTAAAAAAATAAAAATAAAAAAAAAGCACGAGACAAACAAAAACCCCACGCCTAAAGTATCTTTAATCTTGCTCATGCTGTGACTTCCAGTTGAACAGAAGGCTGTGGTATTACTAAATCATCAATTACATCCTTCTGTATCAGTTTATTCATTGAATGTGCTTCTTCCCCCTTCTTCCTAAGTGGTTTACAGTGCTGCTTCTGCTGTTTTATTCTGAATACAATAGCAGGTAAGGAGTACCATAGCATCCTGCTGTTGGATCTTTTACCTTTTCAGCATCAGCATTTTTTAAAATACCACTGCTTAACTTTTGTTTTATGTAATGTGATAGCCTTTTCCCTCCAAGACTAGTCTATGTAGCAGAAGTAGAACTTCCTTTCTTTGCATTGTAGTCATCCCTAATACTGAATTGTAGTGAACTCTGTGCAGCTTTATACACTTAGCATGGCATTTCTGTTGTCAGCAAGCAGGATGTGAAAGGAAGGAACAAAACTATTATATCTGCAGCTTCTAGGAGGTTTCTTTGGCTGGCTTATGTTGCTGCTGCTTTTAACAATTGCTGCTTAAAATACTGATTTGAATACTAGTTCTGTATAACTACGTGGAAGAGGAATGTGAATGACAAGGCCAGCTGCATGAGAGGAAAATATAATGCTGCTGAGAAGAAAATCGAATTGTGTCATTAAAAAAAACACCCTCCCCCATCCTTTCATTAGCTATCTTATCTCTGCTTAACTGGAACTCTTTAAGGATAGCATAACAGATGTCATTGTACTGCCAGGAACTTTGCTAGCTGTAACTGTACTGATGCAGTTAATTTTGTCTTTCACATCTAATCAGGCAAAAATGAATATTTCTGCTGATGTAGAATATTGGCTGTAATGATCCAGGTCTAAATTTTTTTAACCAAAATTTGGACTTTGGCAGCAACAGCTTCAACTAGTGTTAGAAAAAGTAATCCTTGTCAGGATGAGCTTTCTATATGCAAGTCTTTAGTTCAGAACTAGAAATGGGAATAAGGATTAATATCACCTACCTTCCTGTTATGTTCTAGGAGAAACAAGAAAGAATATGAAGTATGCTTTCTTCCATGGCTTTAATGCAAAGTGATAAATGTGTGACTGATAATTTTTTGTTTTATTCTCCCACTCTCCCATCACACCCCACAAAAAGTAAATGCGTGGGAGACTATTCCTAGTGATGACTTTGTCTTTTTGCTGTACTTGTACACTAAGCTGAGAAACTGGAGTAGTGATGTATGTGCTAAATTAGACCATGCTTTCTCTCTGTTGGCTTCAATATACATTCCTCAGAATAAATAAGCTATCTTTAAACAAAAAAGTGATACTTGAAATAACACAGGAAAGCATGACCAAGTCACTGTGCTGATCTTGATTTAAGTAATTGTTTTCTTAGTTGCTACTTAATTCTGTATCATCCTAATTTAAGATCAAGAACAGTCCTTAGGAGTAACACTTCTTTCATGGGCCAGTTTTCTAGAATATCTCCCAAGGAAGCAAAAATAGTACCATAATTTTGAAGAATACGTACCTAAAGCAAATTTGTAGGCTTACTTTTAACGTGGAACTCTGCTTATGTGAATGTTCAGTCTTCTATCCAGGCAATTATTTGCATTTGCAAAGCAGGTTTAAGGAAAAAGTGCTACAGGTTTTTAGGCCATTAGAGTTTGTGGTATCGAGGTCTTAAGAATCCTCTATAGTTTCCTCTGGAAGAAAAACAGATACTTGCTGCCAAACATGACCAACCCCAGACCTTATTTTTAGACTAATGAATATAGATCTGCAGGCTCATGTTCTGTTGTTTCTTTTTTTTTTTCTTCACATCTTGGCTTGCTTTGAAATTAATTTTATGTCTGAATGAGGCTGTTACTGGTTTGTATAGCTGATTCTTGTATCCCCATGAAATTGAGTTACAAAGAATATTGTTAAATAACATGACTACAGCTAGATTGGTCCAAAACCAAACGAAGTGAACTGATTTGTTTTTTGGTGTGTTTTTTTTTTTTTTTTTTTTTTTTTGGTGGGGGGGTTTGTTTGTTTTTTTGTTTTTTTTACTAAGCTTTTTCTCCCATAGAGCACAAAGAACATCAAATTGTTAGAAAAGAGTGAAGTTGTTAAGATAAATAATCATATAAAATGGTAGGAACGATTATGTTTAAGAGGTTTATAAATCAATAGTGTGATTTTGTAGATTAGAAAGAGCTATAATTTTGCAGTTCTGTCTGTCCAGTATTGTGGTCAACCTGTAACCAGTGATACAATGGTAGTCTTGGTAGCAAGAGCTCATATGACCATAAATGGTGAAGGGTGTATGGGTGAATTTAGAAAGATAGATTGTGAAATTCTATCCAAGCAGAACCTAGAAATTAACAGAGGTAGCCAAGGGAAAATAGAACAATGCTGGCGTCCACATAATGGCTGGGATATGTCCAGAGGACAAAAAGGTGAAAAGAACAAGCCGAGGAAGACTCCTTACTTCATCAGGACGACCACCAGAGGGGGGCTGCGCAAGCGCAGAAGAGGCTGATGTTACAATAGACTGACGTGGCAATCCTTAATGCATATGTATTAGTGAATGATGCAATCTATATCGAATATGTATAAATTGCGAACGCGATGTGACGAGACCGAAGCCAGATTTGGGCGCGTGCCCCTGGTTTCCCAGCGCTGCAATAAAGCACCTCATATAACCATTCCGGTGGTTATGTGTCAGTTCCTACGCTAACAAAATGAGCTTGTCTGATGATAAACACCATAATACCTTGAATGATCTGAATTTATAAATATTAGCCTTCTTGCTTTTGTTTTCAGTTGCTGTGGAGTTTGGGAAAAAAGCATTGCCATGAAATTCTGTGTAGTTCTTTAAAATGAGTCTAAGTGTGTGTGTCTTCTTAGAGTGCAGAATTGCTGAATGAATTGGGAGTAAAACCAGCAGGGAAGAGTTAATTCCACCCAGGAGCAGAGTCTAGTCTTTATGCTGCAAATTCAGATTGGTCACCATAGGCAGGCTATTACATTCTTTTTAAGAAAGTGCTTTAGTCTGAGTGTTGCCACAAGAGGTCAAGGCTTACATATACTCATATCTGCGCATCAAGCTGAGAACTCTGCAGCTTTAAAATAGTGCTAATTTTTATGCACAAGTTCCTGCTTCCCAAAACGTGTCTAATGACCTCATTTATTATGTATGCAGACCTTTCTTTACAAAACTAAGTCTTACAATTAGGGTTAAATGCAGCTTGGTGTAAATGCAGAGAAAACCAGCTAAGTTTGAATTTGCAGGAGCAAAATGTGTGTTTCAGTGCAGAATGAGTTGCCCAATTTGTTGCTTCTAAGTGGGAAAAGTGCAATTATTTTGTTTCCGAGTGTTAAGTACTGAAGTACTTGAGTTGGAAGATTACTGCAATTTGTGTAACTTCTTTCTTTTGCACATGCTAAATTTGTTACCTAGAATTTTCCTGCCAAATAAGAAACAGCAGATCATTTTCTGATCACTTCGTAGCTTCTAAATAATATGCCAATTCTAAATAATATGCCAATGTTTTAATAATCCAGAATATTGGCCTAAAGGATCTTCAAATAAAATCAACTGGGGGAGTGCCATTACTGTGCTTTAGCAAACTAAAACCAGCAGTGGTTACTGTCAATCTGCCTAAATAATACTGTAGTAACAGGGAATGATAAAGACAGATACTTCTTAAACCTGTTTTTCATTGATAATTACCATAGTTTAATATTTTAAACAATAAAAAAGTTTGCATCACTTGATGCAATTATTAACGCAAGTTTGTACAATACCACACAGCATCTGCTAAATAAGCAAGTTTGGCAGCTTAGCAAAAATCATGTGATTGCAGCATCCATGATTTGAATTCAAACGAACAATGACTTATTCCTCTGCAAAGAGTTGGTAAATCAAAGTAGCACACTTCAGTGTTCTGGACAGTGCTTGATGCCAGTGAGTTTGATGGAAATCTTTTTAGTGCATGGCCCCTGTGCATAACTGCCCAAATCAAACTGTTGTCTCCTTTGAGTTCCTCTTGATGGACTGCAGGCCCAGTAGAGACTGCTGGTTGGAGGGAATGGTGGCAGAATTCGGCAGTAGGAGTATCACACGCTGATTGGTCCGACGCCATTCGCTGTATAACTTACAGTAATACCTAAAAGATACCTGAGGAGAGAACGGAGATGCTCTTTGTTTAGGGTCAAAGTGTTCCTCCAAGGAATCACTTGGGGCTTGGGGGAAATGCCTTGAAGTGGAACAAAAAGCAGCCTGATTGGGTGGGATAAAAATGAGCAAAAAGATGGGACCTACCAGGTAGACAGCTTGTTCCCCAAGTTGCTACAGCAGAGAAGCTGTACTTTCTGCTGTTGCCTACATCTTCCTTTATAACATGAAAATTCAGACAAAACTCTGTCTTTCCCGAGAGCTAGAATTCCTGGCAGCTACTTGGAATGAGAATGATTTTGGGGTCCTATAATGCTTCAAGTTGGTTCAACTGACAATGTAGCTGGCTGGATGGTGAAGGCTTGCCAGTAGCTAAACTGTGTGCAGACAGTGACAGGGTCATGTTACAGGTTCTACCTTTTAATGCTTTATTGCTAGATGCATCACATTAAGATTGCACAGATGCAACAAGGTGAGTGTGAGCCATCTGCCAACATGTGGGTCTCAGTTTAGCTTGTCTTTGATTTTTTTTTTGTTTTTATTGTTAATAGCTAACAGATTTCAACCTTAATATAATTCTGCCAGTAGTGGAAGAGAAATGACTGATACAAGATAACTTGGCCCTATTTTTTTTTTAATAGCTTACTGCTTATTTTAGTGACAGCTGAGTGTAGTGAGAATTATGTTTAAGAACATGTGCAGTAAAAAAAAAACCCAAACAAATGACAACCCTGTAAACTGCCTTGGGACCTTTTTCATGACAATTACTGTGTTCTTAGCTGTGAGCAGGAGGGACCCATGCAGTGAGCACAGGAGGAACCTTGTCTTGTTAGCTGTTCTGTCTTCATATGCAGCTGGTCATTTGTCACTGATTTTTATGCACCTGAGGCACTTCTGTAGGTCTGTGCTATGCAGAGGGTGCCATGAAGGCTGGAGGGTAACATGCTTGGTTTGCACGGCTGGGTGGAAGATGCTGCTGACTGCTTGCAGAGAAGTGGCTCAGTGTGCTGCTTGCTTTCCTGCCCTTACAGCAGTGATAGGATGGCTGCCAGTGAAGTGTAGAGGGAGACTGCGTAATATACATGCCTATGATTGTATCCTTCAAAACCCTTTCCTTCTTGCAAAAAGGTGTTTTTAACTAAGTAAATTATTTACCTTTCTATAAAATCCTACTAGGGACAAAAAAAAAAAAAAAAAAAGACTTGGTTTTTATTAGATCTTTATTCGGCTATCTGCTGATTAATGAGGGAAACTTATAGAGCTTTTGTTGACTACACAGTTGCCCAAAGACAGCTCTTCCAACAGATCGATTCCCCATCTTTCAGTCTCCTCTGCTGTCCTGGAAGGCAAAGCAGTCTACACCTTCATTTCTGTGGAACATCATTATACGAATGAACATGAGAAATCTCTCTTTAAAAAGCACTGCAGTGTCAGCAGGAGCCATGGGGGCATGGGGACGGAGGGGAAATGACTGGACGCCAAACACCTGGAAAGATAAATGCCATGCAAGATGCAGTGAGTGCTTCAGAGGAATGAGCTACAGTTTAGGTTGAGTTTTCAAGTAGCATCGCATGAGTTCTTTGAGGAAGGGCTTCATTGTTAAGCCATGCTTTAACTGCTCGTTTGTTTAAGGCATTTTCGCAGGATAACCTAGTTAAGTTTGACAGCTTGTTTACAATGGGGTCTTGCCTGGAGGCAGTTTCCGAGTGATGTCAGCTACTGAATTTCAGTAGAGCCGATGTTACTCACTCTAAGCTGTTACACTGGATGCAAAACTTGAGATGCTGAGCAAAGGCCAGATTTACATTGGTCCTTGGCACACTAATATTTGTCGACCTCTTCAACAGGATAGCAAGCAGTGTCTTTCTAACTTACCCTGAATTAATTCAGGTGGGCCTGTTCTAAACTAGCAGTTATGTTACACTGGAAGCTATAGGGCAAATCTTGTACTGCAACATGCTACTTGATCTTAAAGGATTCAAGAGTGAGAGAAAGCAGAGCATGGCCCCTAATTCTCGGTTTAAATAGCAATCTCTGTTTTTTGTCTGAAGCTTTCTTCTTGGGAGTAGGTTGGGTTTTTGGGGGTGTTATCAGGTACAGTGAATAAACTCAGAGAAAAAGCAGCAGCATTGAATGGAGAGTGTGGCTGTTTAAGGGGATGGATAAAATAGCTTATTGGATGCTAAAAATAGAATCTCTCCCATTCACTGCTCATTTGGGTAATTATGGTATATAAATAATCTATATGCCAACTTTTGCCTCATGTTCTGTGTAATTTGCCCCACAGCTCTCAATATACACCCTGCACAGCAATAACTAAGCAAGCAGTGCAGGATTCCCCTATTTCCAAATATTAAAGGGCAGGTGCTGCTGAAGCATTTCATTGGGCTGGCTTCAGCATGTGGGTCCATTCCTTGCTATGTGGCAAGCGGAGGAGATGCATCCCCTGTGCAAATGCAAGCTGGGACTTTCCTGTGTTGACGGATGGGTCTCAGCTGCTGAGCAGAGCGGACAAGTCTCCCTCATGCAGGCGAGGTTAAGTAGTTGCTTGAAGTCTCTACCTTGATTTTGCAAATCTGCCCTCTGAGAATGTGTGTAAACACTGTCACTCAAGCCTGTTGACTTAATCTGCAGATATACTTAAATCTGCTCCAAACTCTTCCAAGTACTAAAGCTGTCAGGGCAATGAGGGCACCTTGTTGCTGTGAAGAGAGCCTCAGCTCCATCCCCATCTGCCCAGTGAATTAACCCCATGCTGAACAGGAGGGTTGCTGTGCACTGAAAGGCATCCTACCTTGCCCTTCCCGGGTGAACAGAGTGCTTCATTAGCCCGTCCACCTCCTGCTGGTCTGAATAATAGATCAGAATGGATTTGCATCTTCCACAATTCAGTGTACATTAAAGAGACAATATTTCAATTAAATTAATCAAGGAATACATTTACATCAGGCTCACTATCACCATATTCTCCAGCTCCTATAACACATTTCTCTGTATGCTTCTGAAGAGGTAAGACTTAGAAAGTGAATAGAAGGGATTTTGCCACTTATGATATAAATACAACAGATGATGTCAGGGACTACACTTGAGATGCTGCAGAAATTTTAATGAGCAGGGTCAGGTATGTCCATGTGTCATGGGTAATTAAATCCAACTTCTTAGCCAGGCTCCCCTTTCTAACTTACAACCGTTCTGGTGCTTGTGAATTAGGTATCTTAGATAAACTGGGCAGCATTTGGGGTTCAAGACAGTCATACACAAAGGAGGTTTGAAAAAGCTTTGCTTGAACACCTGGCAGTACTGCAGGAAATACAAGTGCTGCTTCACTACTGGAGTAAATGTCTGTCCTGTCAAAGGGGAGTGCTGCTGGTGCTGCTTCACAGAAAATAGAAGCAGAAACACCACAAAGAAACTGCAGGATCCTGAGGGAAAACTCTCAGCTTTCCCTACTGTTGTGTGCTGCTAAGATTTGCTTGCAGTCTTCTATGGATGAAACAGGGTGTCACTGTTACAAATGAAGTAAATGAGAGGCTACTTTTCATAGGTTTCTTGGAGATAGCTATTACACAGCGTGGAGGTTTTGTGTTTTTTACCGTCACCATCCCTGCTTTTGCAAGCTTACTGTGGGCTCATGATACGGGTTTCTTACTGTGTTTTTACCTCTATTAGTGTCACCTCCTCAGCAGCTTACACTGATCAAAAACTGCTGGATGGGGTCAGCTATACAGTATGTGGCCATACACAGTGTGCACGAGAGCTGTGTGCTAGCCCTGCAGGACCAGTGGCTGTTCTGGCACCATGGGCAGGGTGGTCTTCCCCCAGTCAGGACAGTACAGGTTCATATGGGTTTTTCCTCTCACAGCAGCGCAGCCTCGCACATGAATGCACCATCTGCATCTGCTGTTCTGTTCTCCTCCTAGCCCAAGAGCTAAAGGTGTAGAATGTCAAACTCAACAGTAACCTGGGATTTTCAGTGAACTGCTAGACCACAACTTGATGAACACTTGTTTTGGCAGCTGTCCTCTGGGTTTGCTTCATTAATGCCAAGCCAAGTGTTCCTTGGCACACTGGGGCCAGGAGCTGATCTGTTTAACAATTTTAACAATTTGACACAAATCAAGTGGTTTTCAGGATGGGTCAGCACGCAAGTGACAGCTGCAAAGGCAGCTGTATTTCTACAGACTTGGGTGTAAGGTGTGCTCTGCTATGGACTTCCCATAGTGCCGCAAGCACAAGTAATGAGGAAAGCATGGGGTGCACCCACATGCAAGGCTTTTGAATTGTAAAATTGGCCAAATGTTGGATTAGAATAAAATCTGAATCCTCTAGCTTCCACATTGTTCATCTAAAGCTATTTTGTCCACTGTGCCTTCACCTATTGCACATTATCTTTGATGTAGCTCCCTCCCATAGCATGTGTCTTAGAACTCCATGTTGTCTCCCTCTTGCTGCCTCCTCTGGTGTTTGGGATTTGGGAATGACTGACCTGAAATCAAACTGTCTTTCTGGTTTTCCAGAGAATTTGAATAGTGTGAAACCCAGAGGTTTCTTGCAGATGTAAATTAAATTTATCAGTGCAGAAGGCATATATAAGCAAAGCTTTGTACAATGGTGCACATGCTCTATAGCACACCATCATTAATCTTCTGATTTGCTCTTTCCCATATTCCTATGAGTTAAAGAGAAAACCAATACTTACTAGAGCCCAAAATAGGTAAATAATGAAGAGTGCGACAGTAAGTGCAATAAGGCCAACAGCTTCTAGTCTGTTACTAAAGTGCAGATGGTTCACCGCTCCTCGCAGACACAACCAGCCAGAGATGCTCACCAGTGGAGTGATAAAAAAGAAGCACAGCAAGTCTCCAAAGAGAGTCCGTTTCTGATGCTGGGGGCCTGGGTTCCTCAGCCACTGCAGGCAAAGTGCAGATAAAGCAAGCGTCAGCACAGGGAGGATGTTTTACAAGAATCAAGCAGCTCGCTTACAAAATGCAGACCTGTTCCTCAGGAGGGATCATGGACCACATGCAGGACATGGCTTTGGCTGTCCCTACAGAGGTCATACCTGAACTGTCCCACCTCGTTTATTCAACTGTAGTTAGAGCTGCCTTGATAAGGGGGAGTGATTTGCATAGCGCAGCCTCTGGCATTTGTCTGCTCAGCCGTTTGGGGAGCTCCCTTAATGTGGAAGGAATCACACTCTTCTCAAGAAAAGTGCAGAAAGTGTTTGTTAATGTTTGGCCACAGTACTTTAAGTTGGCTTTTGGTTGGATTTTTTTTTTATTTTTACATTGTTTGTAATACCAGCAAAGCCATTTCCAACTCGCTTTCAGATATGTGCAAGCAGTTGAATGCACACAAGGTTACATTTATTAAGAGGAAAACCTTGCATGGAGACCTCATAGCAGCCTTCCAGTATCTGAAGGGGGCCTACAAGGGTGCCATAGATGGACTCTTCATCAGGGACTGGAGTGATAGTACAAGGGATAATGGGTTTGAAGTTAAATAGGGAAAGTTCAGGCTAGATGTAAGGAAGAAGGTCTTTGCTGTGAGGGTGGTGAGCCACTGGAACAGGCTGCCCAAAGAAGTGATAACTGCCCCATCCCTGGCGATGTTCAAGGCCACGTTGGACAGAGGTGTGAGGTGTCCCTGAGCATGGCAGGGGATTTGGAACTAGATGTTCTTAAGGCCCTTTGTCACTCTTGACTATTCTATCATTCTATGAAAACAGAAGGCCTGATAATCAGCTGCTGAACTGAAGGCTGATTGAACAGCTATCAAGCCCACACGCCCATGCTTCTATAAACAGGATTTTAGATGGCAGAGGTGAAAGAAGTTCAGCCTACGACAGTACACTAAGGCCTTTTAATAAGAAAACCTCATCACTCAAGTCAATCTTTGAATAGGAAGACTACCAAGCCCTGCAATTTTTGCTAATGTAAGCTGCAGGCTTTGGTCAGAAGCACTCTTCAACAATTTTAATTCTTTGAGCATGTACTTGGTGCTACCAAGGATAGAAAATATTTCTTACTGGGGACTCTAACCAGCCTAGGAGCTGTACATGTTACCCTAGCCACCAAGGGCAAACACATTATGTACTGCACAGGACTGTGAGTACCCCAGAGCCCACGATCTAAGCAGAAAAGGCAAAGCTGGGAACAGGCAGCAGAGGTGGAGGGAGCTGCCATAACCCCAGCTGCCTGTGCAGCCAGAGCTGGGTGCAAGGCAGGCTATAGATTCCCAGTCTATCATGCCCTCCCAGGCTCTTGCTCCGAGAGTGAGGCCATGCTGAAGGCAAGGAAAGTCATGCTCCATCAGGGAGCTATGGCGTTATTTGTGATCAGTACAACAAGAAACCAAAGCTCCTGCAGCTCTGTGCCAGCAGATGTGGATAAACTTGGCCTCTCATTACAGCACATAATACGTGGCAGTGGAAGGCCAGTCTCCTTAGGTTCAGAAACTAAGGTTAAAACTTCATCCCTTCATCAGTTATTGCCCTTATGCCCAGTCACCTTGGGGTTTTTTCTTCTTGTGCTACAGCAACTTCCCGGAGGAACAGCAGGACTCAGAGGTTTGATGAGAGAATAAGGCTAAAGAGTGTTGTGCAAGATAATGAATATTCCTCATCTAGGCATTCTGCACCTCTATTTGGACGCTGTTTCATCTTTTCCTGCTTTACACACACCGTGAAAACAAACAGCAGCATTTATCTCTCCATTATCATATGGGGTGTAACAACAGTCAAGAAATTAAGTCCAGCCAGGGGACAATTTGACACTAGCAGAAAGACACAAATCAGTAGACAAGTTTGCCTCAGCCTTACCATCTTCTCAGATGGAAATAATATATTATCTACTTAACAGGACTTTTTGTGAGGTTTAAATACAACAGAGTAACTCAGCAGCCTAAGATCTATTTTCGTGTTTGACTCGGGAATTTCAAAGAACACAAAAATATATTCATAAACATTTTTTGCAGGATATAGTCTTTTATTAATCTGAATACTTTTAAAATCCAAAGGATGGGGGAAGTACTTTATAACTGCTATGTACTACTATAAGCAAGAAGCTGTAAGGGAAGATGCTAATCAAAGAGGGAGGCTTAATATTGTTTTTTCTCTTTCCAAACAGTGTCTTAAGCTCAAGTTTATTTAAGACACCAGAATACCATGTGTGGTAGGTTCACCGCAGCCTGCAGCTGAGCACCACACAGACACTCGCCCACCTACCCACCACATCAGTATGGAGGAGGGAACAGGAAGAGGCTGCAGCTAGAGCTTGTGCAACATAAGGAGACGTATGGTTACATCTGAACAACTTCATAGAGAAAGCTATAGTCCTGTGTGAGATGCTCACACCACTTTCCTTGGAGCTTTTATTTCATTTACTTAAAAATACTCCAAAGGAATGTGTCCATAACAGTTCCAGGTTTTATTTTGTTGCTGTTAGACAGAACTGATTTCAACCCTCACCTTTGCAATTGCCATGAATCCCTGTAATCTGAAATTGCCAAGAAAATGAAAAGAACTGAAAGCATCTGGTGGTGGAGATTCTGCTTTTAAAGGTGACTATGAAGAGGTTTTTTGTTTATAAACTGTGACCTACAAGAGAATTGCTGAGCAGCTGCACTATTGATCTCAATGGGAACTGCAGGTGTTCACCACTTTCTTAGGGTAGACCTTAAAATGCCAACATCTCCTTATGTCAGTGCTATGGCCACTGCCCCTCCTGTAACTGAGCGGTGAAGAATACAATGAAACCTTTCAGAGTCCATTTAGCGGAGGCTGCATCCTCAAATCACAGCCTGTTTTGATCCTTTCGTCCTCCATGCAGCTCAGCTAGTACATGAAATACTTTTTATTGATCAGAGTGAGAAGGAAGATCAGCAAGAATACATGCATGTGAAGAAGCACACACATAAAGGCATGTGTTGTCATCTCTGCCCTGTGGCTTTCATGGTACAGAAGACATGTGCTTGAATTAAGACATCATTTTATGATGTGCAACCTAACGTGATTGAAATTTTGGGCAGGCAAAACATGGCGTGAGGCTGCTTACAGGCTGCCTGCACTCCTTGTCTTGTCTGACCCATATGAACAAAGAATCAAATAGAAAAAGTTCAAATATTAGATGAGGCTGGGTCAGACAAGAGTAGTATTATACAATAGTAACTCCTCTCCCACAATTCTACAGTCTAACCTTAAAAGCTAGTTCTGAGGTTGAAGTCAAAAGCAATGAGTAAGTAATTCGAGTGGCTTATGGATTTATCTCTTGAAGTACTTCTCTTTAGATTCTAGGTTTCAGTCTTTTCTTTTGGAAATGTGCACTGTCAAGTTACTTTGAAGCTAAAAAGGCAAGTCAGCAAATCCTTTCCTGAAACTGAAACCCACACAACGGTCTCAACAAAGTGTTGAGCTGATTAATTAGTATGGCAGTACAGGAGGGCAAAGAATGAGATGTAAGGCCAGATGCAACTGTCATATCTGCACTATGACACTGAAATCTGTTCTATTAAAATGTGTCAATGCACTCAATTATTTCTGCCATAAATTGAGACTCTTACAGTAATAATTTCCATTTTTAGGGAAAAAAAGTCATAAGGGTTATGTTTGAAGTAAAATGCTGGCTTGTCTGGCAAAGCACTATTTTATTGAGTGAAATCTTAAAATGAACAGTGATTCCAGTTCCTGATACGCAGGTGGAGACCCAGAGTAATACAACATGAACAGCAAGCACAAATTCAATAATAGGTAAGTGCAGCACCTGATGCACAACCCACTACTGGCTCATGCCTGACACAAGTGAAGAAACCCTGGAGATTCCAATCCCTTGAAGAAACATGGGGTCCTACCTCATCCCTCACAGTGACACATAGCAAATGGGGTCTGCTCAGATGCAAATACCCTCCAAACCCTTGTCTGCTGCCCCCCACTATCCATGCCATCACTTTGGCAGTGGGTGCTGTGACAGTTGCATGGTCCACACACACTGCTCCAGCACAAGAAGTCTGTGCTCAGCCACATTCTGCTAAACAGTGAAGGTGCTGCTGAAATAATCCAGACTGCACACTGCAAAAGGGCAGCCACAGCAACCAGTTGGGGCAGGACAGCACCTTCAGCCACATACCTCTTTGCCCAGCAGATGTGTAAGCCTGCAGGCAGTAGCAAAAGCTTTGTTGAGACATACTAGTGATCTACTGCACTCAGACAGGATGGCTTCAACTGGAAAACAGAAGGGATGTCAGGAAAATAGCCCACACCACTAGAGGTGACTTAAAAAGTCTAGTTATTGCAACAAAGTCACACTCTAAATGCATCTTGGGGCTGGGCAAAAGAAGGGAGAACTGAAGGGGGACATCAGTAAAGGAGAAGTGCTGCTTGATCTCATAAACTCTTTAAAGTAGTAATCCTTTATAGGAGAGAGACAAAACACAAAATTTCATTTGTGGGGACAGTTCAGCTCTGGGAACAGCAATACCTTGTTTCTGAACATCATGGGACAAGGACAACACCGCTCTTATTCAGAGACCAGGGCAGAGGGAGCAGAAATGCTGATGTCAAAAATGGGAAACATAGGAATGGGAGTTCAGTTCCCTTCTCAAGCTTTATACACCATGGGTCTCTTGGACTGGATGAAAAACAAGTCTCCTAAACACAGTGCTGGCTTAAGAACAACCAACATTGTGAGGCCAAACACAACATTGTGCATTCTCCCGAATACATATGTTGGCTTAAGAACAAAAGGGTAACAGTTGGCCATAAATACATTTAGATTAAGAATAAAAAATTTCCCAGCCTTCATACGATCCACCTCTGGCGAAGAAAAGACGCAGGGGGACCTTATTGCTCTCTACAACTACCTGAAAGGAGGCTGTAGTGAGGTGGGAGTTGGTCTCTTCTTCCAAGTACCAAGCGATAGGACAAGAGGAAACAGCCCCAAGCTGCACCAGGGGAGGCTGAGATTGGATATTAGGAAAAATTTCTTCTCAGAGAGGGTGCTCAGGCATTGGAACAGGCTGCCCAGGGAAGTGGTGGAATCACCATCCCTGGAAGTGTTCAAAAACCATGTAGATGAGGCCCTTAGCAACACAGTACAGGGGTAGATGTGGTAGGCCCCGGAAAATGGTTGGGCTTTTTGACCTCAAAGGTCTTATAGTTCTTTAATTCTACTTCACAAAGCAAAGCTGAATTTAAATTATTATCTGCCCTAGAAGGATTAGACTGAGCTCTTGATCTTCATCAGAGGGTCTCCACACCTCCTTCAACTGAATGCAAACCCTGGTGCTCAGGAATTTAATGTGAGTTTATAACAGTCCTATGGAGACTTTTGGTCTGTGAGCCTACTACTGGCTTCCAAAATTTTACCTTATGTTTTACACTGCACATGAAACCAGTTCTATGAAACTGTCTAAAATCCCCCCCAAGCACAAACATACAGAGATGTTTGTTTGACATTGTCAACTAATCTGAAACTTCAGACTCCTGCAATGAGCTAATGGGTTCAGTTTCTTTTTAACAGGTTTATTCATCCTGCCCAAGCAAACGTAACTGAAGACTGAAGAGCTGCTCATCTGAAGGGATAGACAGGTGGAGGCATCCACAAGACATGCCAGCAAAGTAAAGACTGACACGGTGAGAAGGAAATCATCATAACAAGCAGCAGCTAAGGACCAGAACACCCTGGAGGAGCTCAGACTGGGAATTTATCTAACCTAACCAAACTGAGCTGCCAGCAGAAAACTGCTGTAAAATACCTCCACAAGTATGAGCTGCTTCACCATTGCCAAAGGCCAAATCCTGGAAGCTCTCACCTTCCTAGGTCTAGCTACACAAATGCTAAGTATGTGCATAGTGTTTTCCAGATTAGATTCTAAGTCTACAACCTGTTTCTACTGGGAAGCTCTTTTTAGTTCACTACATTTTCCTTGGAAAATTGATTTTACATAAATGTTACTGAGGTTATACCAGCAGCAGAGAAGATTCTGTAGCATGAAGAAAATTTATCACACTGCTTTTTAGTTAAAGGTATGTAAATAGTTATCACAAGTAAAGCTGGAGGGGAGGGGAAAGACAAGAAAGAATTGTCTTCCCTAAATACATTTCCCTTTGAACTAAAAAAATAGCTTATTATGCATCAAACATATCAGTTCATTTTGTTATTTTCACAGCGATAGCTCTGCAGTGATTCTTGGTGAAAACTGTCTATGCACAAGCAAAACTGGAAATTATTCTCATCTCTGGTTTCATGCCAGCAATGACCAAATGGCAGCAGCTTTCCTTGGGCTTTAGGCAAAGAAAGACTCATGTTGCCTGAGTTTTCTTAGTGTGTTTCATCTGAATGAGGGACCTTTTTTTAAGACCAAGTGGACCATTTATTGGCCAAAACCCCAATCAACCATCTGAATATTTTTGTTCAAATACTTCTTAACTTGAAAACTTTCTTTTAACCTTTCCACTGGAATTTTCTGAAATGAAGCTTAACTACCTGTAACTCAGAATAAAGTCTTCCAGACCAGAATGGTATGTATGTTTCTATTCAGTGCAATGAAACATTTGGTGTGACTTGAAACTTTTCTAGGTTAATGTTTTGCCAAAGAAAACAAATATTTGACAGTTACTTTTCAATTGAAAAAAAGTCTGTATTTCAGTTTTGGGGTTTCCTGCTTAGGTCAACCATTCAGTTACTGGCACAGTATTACTGTCTTCAGTAGGTGCTTTTAGAAAGGCCATGGTGACAGCTCACAGATATGTTCCTTTGGTCCCAAAGAAGGTCCTGTTTGACAGGTAGAAACTAAACAATTTGAGCTTTAATTTTATTATGTTCTTGTAACTTTTTATAAGCCTTTTAGCAACAGGGAACCTTAGAAAGGTAGTTTCCATGTTACTCAGTCTGCTCTTATTTAAGTTTAGCCCTTATTTTAAGTTCGAGGGAATATTTTAATTGTGGATGTCTGAATGAGCTGAAGCTACTTCCTGAAATATCAAATTAATTTCATTTGCATCTTTTAGTAAGTGGAAAGGATATCTTATTTATTGTAAGGGTGGTGGTGTATAATACACTTTTACTTTTTGTTTGTTTTGTAAAATGAATAAACCACAGTGCAGACAGGAACCAACCCTAGGTGGTAGCTAATGTGTAGGGAGAGTGCTGTTGGCTGTTGCTATCACACCATAACTGAATTTGTAATCTAGATCCTGGGTAGTTTGCCAGCTGAAAAACAGGAGTCTGCTATACAATGCTCCACCAAGTAGCAATAATACAGTGGCAGGTACAGTGGTCAGTACAGAAACTGTATAATCTAGTTTCAGGATTATACAACTGATGTCTAAAAACAGGATTACTGATTCTCTGATAGTGAAAAAAAACAAACCAAAGAAAAACCACCACCAAACCAACAGTTTGCTAAGTTGCACAATAAAAACCTATGAAATTTCTTGTAGGTCGAATGAAACAGTATTATACTGTTTAGTATTAGTCTGGCTTACTGCTATTCTGTTTTCCTACTGTCCATCTTAGTTTTTATTTCAGGTGATGCTTGCAATAGGTAAAAGATTGCAAGATGTGTCAAGAAAAAAGATTTTGTGAAAGTGTGGGAGAAACAGTATTCCCTTTCACCTGTAAGTCTTTCATATTTCCCATTCTATTTTGGATGAATGTATTCCCAATTAGGCAGAAAAATGTGTGCATTCAAGAAAATCAACAAAAATCACATTTTGCATTTCAAATCAAAAGCAAAGCAGATTGGTTATTGGCAACACATATTTCTACACACTGTAAATATCTTCATCTATAAGCCCAAGTATATGGAAACTAAAGACATGATAGATAATCTAAAAGGTCAGATGCAATAGAACTTTTCATCTTAGCACTTAGGGCAAGCTTAAATTATACTAACAGAAATAAAAAACTTTGACTCGTGTCCTTCTGCTTAATATTTCCCCTTGTGTACAAGTCATCTTAGTTACTCTTTGACTCTGCTGCTCTCAACTTCAAAAGTACAGCTCCAGTTCCTGTCTAAACTGAAAACATATTTGTGTAAGATCACAACGGACCTGCTTTTTCTTTTATGACTTTTTGTGCAACTGCATATAATAGTTGATTACTGTAGTAAAGTATTGTGGGTATAGTAGCTGAGAAGCAGGAAAAGATTAGGTAATAAAGAGAAAAACATCAATTAACAATGTGTACTATGTTTCAGAAATATTCTCGAACCTGGTTCTTATTAATCCAGCTGAGAAAAAAGGACAGCTTTATCATTACTATTGTTATTATTGTTGCTGTTGCTACTATTTATTAATTCTTTTGCCAAAAATAAGCCTTACTTTATCAGTGAATAATCAAGAAATCAGATCCTCCCAGCCTCAGCAGGGTTAGCTTTGCATTCAAGTTTTTCAGTGATCATTAGCTCTGAACACTATCATGCCCCTTCTCTCTAAAGCAAGCCTATGAGCAGCTATTGGAAGGGACCAGCTTGGAGAAGCTGGACTCTAAAATCAAACTGTGATAAAGAATCATCCACAAAGGTTTTGCTGCTTAGTCCCTAACTGCCTGAGAATCCTCAATAAACAGCAGCATTTCTGAAACCAGGACCAGCTTCCCGGAGGAGTCGTCTGGAGTCCTGCTAGAAGCACTAAACAACAGGCAAGCAAACATAGCTGGGCTAGGCTTGCTCTGGCTAGACTACATCTTTTGTGCTAAATACTGTGTCATAAAAAGAATACACATTCCTTAACCCAGCATAAGCAGTTTTGGTAATCCTCAGTGAGAACTGCTCACCCCCTTTCTGCATGGGCCTCTGACCCACTACCCAGCAGTCAGTTTTACCCTGTAACCTCTCACCTGTGAATAAAAGCAATAAAAAAAAATCTGTGGATAAAAACTTATTTTTAATACCATATCTCCTTCTACCAGTTTGCTACAGTTCACAGGAGCAATGAGGATGCACAGGAAAGACACACAGTCCTTCTGAAAGATGTTATTATTTGTAATTCACTTCGAATTCCAATATAAGCCACTATTTTTACAGTTTTGTTTTTTGCCTTTTTTTTTTTTCAAATTAAAATAGGAGAGGCAAAAGATCATTGAGAGTGTAAAGATAGTGATCACCAAACCTGGCAAACTTTATGCTTATGCAGCCACAGAGCATCTATGGCTATCACAAACGGCATCACAAATGGCTAAACATGCCAAACACCAACTAAAAACTACTCCTTGTGGGCTTAACATGGAAACTACCTTTCTAAGGTTCCCTGGTTTGTTACTGCTCCCTCAAAAGCAAGGTGAAAATATATTCTTGACCTATATTTAATACTGATGCTTGTCTCACATTCCACAGAAATTACTACTTGCCCCCCATCCTCTACCAAGCTGGTTGGTAGATCAGGAATACACTGCACACTGTTTCCCACACCTTCACTCAAGTTTACAATGAAGCAAACCCATCGATCCTATTCTTCTCACTTGATTTGATTCACTTCAAAATAAGAGCTTTGTTATTTCTGCCCTTTCTTTGACCTCTTGCCCTCATCATGCCAATCCCAAAACTCACAGCTTGCCTTGGCTTTGGCCAAAGGACTTTGTGATCACAGTATCACAGTATGTTAGAGATTGGAAGGGACCTCAAAAGATCATCTAGTCCAATCCCCCCGCCAGAGCAGGAACACCTAGATAAGGTTACACAGGAACGTGACCAGGCGGGTTTTGAATGTCTCCAGAGAAGGAGACTCCACAACCTCCTTGGGCAGCCTGTTTCAGTGTTCTGCCTATATTGAAACAAACATGAAACAAAGATAAGGTTTTGGGGACATGCCCCATGTACTGACCTCCACCAATGGCCTGTATTTGTGCTCCACTGCAAACCTGAATTGGCAGAGTTCACAGTAGCTGGTGTTTGAAGACGTCAGCCAGCGCTCCAGGCAGCTGCGGTGAATGGTCCCCAGTGTTCCTGTACATTTGCAAGGGGAAAGCAGGTCTTCCTGGCTGCTGCCCTCATGGCAGATCCTGCATATCGGCTGGTCATTAAAGGGGCTGCTGAAGGAGGAGGGAAAATTGTTGTGATCTACCCTCTCTTTCTGCATGTCACAAATTAACAACTGGGACACATGTGCAGCTTGCGAACTTTGTTCTGCAGTTGTTACACCAAGCTGCTGGCTGATGGTTGCAGGCACTTCGATATTATTGTTTAAAATATCTCTTCTTTTGTGGGGGGAAAGTAGAGAGGGAGAGTGAAAAACATCAGAGTGACACGTTAGAGACAGATGACCAAGGGCTTCTGCACCTTTGTATTTTCCACCTCTTCACAGTGCAGCAGTGCAGCCACTTCAAGAAATCTCTAAATACATCACGGAAGTTTTAAACCTGCCTCAGCTGGTCCCCTCTTATGCCACTGATGATCTCTGCCATCTCTTCTGAGCTACAGGGTAGCACTCTCTTATGCTAGTAATGATCCCCTAGCCTACAGGGTAAGCTGTTTTCAGTAATCAATAGCAAAGGACTTCTGGACTTGAAACAACAGTACAACTTGCCCTGCAGTGGTCTGAAAGCAGGGCCACAAGTTTGGGCAGGTGTTTCCAGGCATGAAGCTCGTGTCCCTGGGGAAGTTTTCCCTCTCTTTGGAGCAACATCTCACAAGCAGCTCAGAAGCACTGAAAAGGAGGACTGCGCCAAACACATCTCTCCCTCATTGCTGCCTGTGCCTATTTCTCCTGCACTGCTTCCCCCAAAGCACCCACTTTCCTGGTGGTAGGATGCTAATGCTCAAAGGAGATGGGTGCTCCTCCTGACAGTGAAAACATAAAGACTCTGATGATTCTCGAATTTACAGAGGAATTTTTTTCTGAAAGGAAGGCAGCACACGGCTTCCCAGGGTGCTCAGACTCAGGGCATCAGGACGAAAGCAGGAGCAGGCTGCAAGCACCGGTGCTGCTGGACCATGGACTTCACTGCAGCTTTGACTCAGCCCCAACTGCCAAGGCTGAGACTGAGATCTTAGAAACAACCCTCCCTACCACATACACCAGATAAGGTGATCTCCTCAGAGAAGCACGTTTTATCACTGGCACTGACAAAACCTCATTAGCAAGTAGTGTATGGTGGCACACAGCTGTTCCCTCTGTTCCCCCTTCTGTCTCTTTGTAGGACACCCCAGCTAGACCTCACTCAGGTGTAACTGCAGGAAAGTCCAAAGAAGCCAGCCTGCTCCTTTCAATCTGCCTGGTAAAACAGTAAGAAGTTGTGCTCCATACTCTGCACACACATCTGAGCTGTGCAAAATGCACGAGTTTTAAAAGACTTGCTAAAAGTCACGGGGAAAAGAGAGCCTTTCAGGTGTCACTTCTCACATGCAGCAGCAGTTACTAAGTTCACTCTTCACAAGAATGCAGTGAACTGAATTGTATTATTATAATTTGTTGTTTTGTGAAAATCGAGGGCTACTTTAAGACCCATGCAGTCTTTCCAGCCTCCTACCAGTGAAACGAAACTTAATTCTGACCCAAGTATCAAGTCTGCAAACAGCCAAACCCTTAAGCATCCTCTTTCTTGCTTCTGATGAAAACAAAGCCAACCCAAAGCAGGCTTTTGAAGGGTATAGTTTCAGTGTATATTTTACCATTGAAATCTGGCATTCTAAATTGACAGAGAGAGTTGCTCTCAATCACTTGCAATGGCTGAAGAAGCAACAGTTGTGTGTGCAGCTCTGTTAGAAATAGCTTGTCTGTCTGCTAAACACACTAGCTTAGGAAGTGTGAAGGAAACTTGCCACGGAAGTGCTGGCAGCATCACACAGGCTAAACACAGCATCCCATGCCAGCCAGCACCTGATGGAGCCCCCTACTATCTATCAGGGCAAATTACTGCAGCTGGCACACTCGAGCAGTAGCATCCCTAGACTGCTTGCTTCCTTATTCTTCACCAAGTGTAGTGGTGAGGATTTAATTATATATGTAGAACAATCATTACAAAGTTAGATAAGGCTTTAATTACAAGTGTACCATGGTAAGCCCCCATGAAGCACATCACCACATCTCCCCCTCAAGTGCCTGTGTGAGACCATGAAGGAAAGGGTTTCGTGGCACCCCCCACATACCTCTGTGTGGTGAGGACCTGCATGACAGAGAGCAGCTGCCCATCCTTGGTGGACACCGGTGTGACATGCTCCGGGCAGCCACTGCCGCTGGCTCTGGTCTTGCTGGTGGGTGCTGGAGAGTACAGGTGCTCCGGTGGGACTCCTGGCAAGTATCTGCCGCGGTTCGTTCTCATGGTGGTGGGCAGTGGGTCCGCATCTACAAAAGAGAGAGTAGAGGGCAGTAAGGCAGAGGGAGAGAGTACGTCCTTCCCTATCTGCAACTCTGCTACACTGATCGATACCAGGTGTGAGATATAACATGTCCCCTCCCTGGCCCAGCCCTCCAAATCGCCACAGGGAAGCTTACAGCATTACGTGTCGTGGAAAAACAGCAACCGGGGGCTTCTGTGCTCCTTTTCTTTTTTTTGTTCTCTGCGGACTCCAGAAGTTATGAGTGATAAATGGAAGGACTGAACCGCTTTGTCTCTTCCTCCTCCAAATACTACAAAGGAATATACAATCTTCGGATTGTGTGCTTTTAAACTTAAAGACTGCCCCTGTCCATCAATGTTATCACAGGAGAAAATGACCGATGAGCTCCAAATCTCCTGAGAAAACACTCTGCTGTTGCTAAGTGCCTTCCTCTGCCCTAATGCAGAACACAGACCTGACAAATAATTCCGTATAGGACTTTTGTCACATAGACCTGCTTAATGACAGCCTATGTGCAGTAATAATTTATGACACAAGGTGAGGTAGAAATCATAGCTTCCCTGTGTCTTTCCTCTCTTCTTCGCTTTTTCTTCCATCACTTAAAGTGTATTTTGTATGATGCTTTTAACTGTGGTAATTGGAAACCAAGGGTTATGTTGACAACCTGAAAGAGCCTGGAAACATAAATTCTTGATACCTTTGTGCGATGCTCCTTGGTGGGCGCGCCTGTTGGTGAAAGGAGGCTGTGTGGCTCAACAGGCAGAACACCGGCCCATGTGCCTGTAAGCTTGTTCTCCAGGTTTGTTACTGATGGCATACATACAGGCTGGATTAATCCCTCTGCAAAAGGGGGAAAGACTTCCTAGCATGACTTGAGACACTTGCCTACAGCCAAGTGTAAATGTTACAGGTTACTACTGTGATATTCACAAGTCGAAATCAGGCATATTTGTCTGCCCTGCACTTAACCCTCAAGAAAAAGCGTTTTGCATCAGACACCACTGTTACTTGTGTAGTACCAGTACAGTAGCAGAAATCTTGTAATTTTATTTCATTGGATTTCAGCAAATGGCAGTGCTAACTTTCAGAAGTATCCTGAATGAATGGATGTCTTTGTTTGGCAGTAAGGTTTTGTAGCATGTGAAAATGCGATGAGGATGCTGTACCACAAACATGCAAGTTTTCACATAGGGACTTATATTCTTAGAGAGGCATCTAAAATAAGAAAATGCTTGCAAAATGTTTGTTTTACAGGATTACTTAAGCTATGTCAGACCACACACACCCCAGAGAGTAAACTGGAGGCTGATAAGACAGCTTACAGCCAAAATCAGACTGGCCTTCATTTACAATGAAAATGAAGCAAATGGCTGATTTAAAAACTATTAACACATAAAAGATGCAGGGTTTTTAAGAGAATAAGAGCCACCGACTCTCCAAGGAGACCATGGTATCAGCAACATTTTAGTTTTAAAATCCATGCTGAAACTGTTTAATATGAATATTCAGCAGTAGAGTAGCTGCTTCATTAAACTTAAAAAGCTTAGGCAATACCATGCTTGCAGACTCATGCTACAGAATTATATATTTCTTTTATGGTTGTTTCGCTGACCTCATTAAGTACAACAGCGGGTTTATTGTTGTGTATAAAGTGACCATCCAAGCCTTTTACGAACAGATGCATCAGCCACTTGATGAGTTCAGAGTATTTGCTGAAGCACCAGATGATGCAACTAAACGTAAAGCTTTAAAGCACATCAGAAATAATGTAGCTAAATCCCAGCAATTATGTTAATTCAAATTTCTGCATACAGTACTGCATCAATATCCCACTTTGGCATACCACCAGCATATTTTCCTAATTTCAGAACAAGCATTTTCATGCTAAACCAGTGTATGTGTATGAAAGTAATACAATTATAGAATTAAATAATACGTGCATTAACACTGACCCCTGTGGTGAATAGTGAAGGTTAATTGTTCTGAGAAGCACAGAGATCCTATGCATATCTGAAGTCAAAGCTGCCAATACAGAATTGTAGATCTTAATAGTCATAAAACCCCGAAGTCAGTATTTACCGAAATGCATCTATTATTTTTTGTCAGAATGTTTTTCACCTGAAAGATAGAGAAATCTGCCACGAATGTCTTAACAGAAATGGAAAAAATGAAGACAAAGACCAAGAAGATGTGTTTACACAGTATTTAGGGAGGGATACAATATTAAATGGCAGAAGCCAGAATATCAACATCCATTATGGGTGCTAGAAAATTCAGAGAAAAGTGGCTGAAATTGGCACTCAGGACATATGTTTGAAGAAATCTAGTAATTAGCACTCTTTTTTCTTTGCTGTATTACTACATCCACTCCTCTTACACTCTCTTGTCTCTCCAAAACCTACTTTAAGACTGCCTTACTACTGTAATATTTAACCAGATCTTTTCCCTATTCTAGTTTTTTTTGGGTTGGTTTGGATTGTTTTTTTTTTTTTTGCTTTGCCTTTGGAACCAGTCTCTGACTCCCTCTTCTCATCTACATGACATGACATTTTGTGATGGCAAGTGGCAAAGTCTGTCTTTTAGAGTGACTCTCCAAAGTCAGCACTGATAGGTATAAGCACTTCAGCAATCACTGATCAGTACATAGTTCTTGGTATATTTCTTCTATTTCTTTGTGCAATTACTTCAAACAGCTATACAAAAAATCTCATTTTCAAAGTTGTTTAATGATCCTAAATTGAAAAGTCCTGAAATAAGGTAAAATCTTTTTTAGTGTGTTATATATATATATATATGCCAGTTTATATATCTATCTATATATAAACAGATATGGGTTTATGGGTACCAGAGTAAAAATAAATACACTGCATGTATCCTTTCTGTACCATAAGTTTGGGGGGAGAGGGGGAAGTTGTTAAATTCTCAAAGGTGTTCTCTGTCCTCAGAAATTTCAAATTCCTGTCTGGAAAGAGGTCAGTGCAGGTTTTTGTGGTGGGAACAACAGCATTTTATTAGTCACTGATTAAATTGTGCTGGTTGTGATTTACTGCTTCCACTTCATCCACTGGCTTATGGAGTAAATATTCCTTAGTGAGCACTGAAAAGTCTCACATATGTTCCTGTTACTCTTGCATTCAGTATGCTGGCTTACAGACATGAAAAGCGTAAGTCTCAAAATAACCACTCTACTCCCTTGTTCAATTTATACAGTTACAAATGCAGATGATCACAGTAGTTTGCGGATATTTATGCTATTTCCTCAAAAACCCCACAGGCATTATACACAGAGTTAGTAAATTCAACCTAGCAGTCACTGTGAAGCATGAAACTATAGGACAGAAAGAGATGCAGTGTACTCAAGCAAATTATTTGAGGCCATAGTAGATCTGGGTAGAAGTTTCAAGTGCAACCTATATCCTTTGCTACATAATAACATATAGCATAGATATATATAGAAATACAGAATAGCTAGATGCTATTCTAGCAAACATTAGGGGTAATTTACACTCCTTTTTCTCTCCTGATATAATTTTAACACCCCCAGTGTTAAAATCTAAGTCAGCATCATCTGATTGTTTTGCCTCTCCCCGCCATCTCCCCCCTGCTTCATTTTTTAAATAATTCCAAAGTCCCAACTGCTTTATAGGGCTTCTCTAGTTATTAAAAGGTATCTGAAAGTATTTCTTTTATTCTTGACATTATATGAGTGAATGCACGTATTTTTGAAAAGGGGCTTGGCCCCACAAACACATGCCTCCAAACACAATCTTTGTTTCAAAGACAAGTTACTTCTTGACTTAGTCAACTGCTGATTATTACTAACAATACGTCCTCACTCAGCTCGAAAAACATTATATGTTGCAAAGCATTTATAGCACATCTTCTTTCCCATGCTTGTATTTCTTTTTAGAAGATACTTTTTAAAGATAACTTCTGTATCAACGGAAACCATGAGACTCAACAAATACTAGTGAGCAAGGCACTGCTATTCTTTTTGAATTACACTCAAATATGAGTGTCATGGTTTAACCCCAGCCAGACAACTTGTGCACTCACTCCCCTCCTCTTCTTGCCCTCCCCCTACTCCTGGAGGGACGGAGAGGAGAATCAAAAAGAATGCAACTCCCACGGGTTGAGATAAGAACAGTTTAGTAACTAAGGTATAACACAAATCACTACTGCTACCACCAATAATAGTAATGATAAAGGAAATAACAAGGAAAGAGAATACAACACCTCATCACCAGGCAACAGATAACTTGCCCCCCCAGCCCGACCAAGCACCGACCGATACCTCCTCCAACCCTGCAGTCCAACCTAGCCCCTTCCGGGTCACTCCCCAGTTACACCCTGGGCATGATGTGCCCATGTGGTATAGAATACTTCTTTGGTCAGTTTGGATCAGGTGTCCTGTCTTTGCTTCCTCCCGGCTTCCCCTCCTCCCTGGCAGAGCATGAGGCTCACCAAGTCCTTGGCCAAACCAAAACATTTTTATCAGCTCTGTTCCCAGCCCGAAAGTCAAAACACAGCACTGCACCAGCTACCAAGAAGGAGAAAAATGACTGCTACTGCTGAACACAGGACAATGACATGTTAAAAACTAGCATTAATGCCCTGAAAAGGAATTTAATGAAGAAATCATCTATCTACATTTGCAACAAGCACCTACAACTGGAGTCCTTGTTGTAGTCTCTCCTATTGTGCAAGACCTGACCTCATTTCTTAAACCCATAAAGCATCATCATGCTGATGAGTTACATTACTGCAGTAGACTTTTTTAATCCGTGGCACTTTTCTGATGAAGCTGCGAGTGGCTTAGATCTAATGCTTCAAGCAGGGGACTGGAAAAGTTAAACAAATATTCATGTAGAGATGGCCTGTGAATTGCTTGCTTTTCCTCTTATTTTAGCATCTTTTTTAAGAATAGCACACACTGTATCTCTCATAGTCATGCAGTTTCAAACTTGAAATTCATTCACCTTTCTTATTCAATGTTCCCATG